GAGAACGGCAGCTCTGTCATCAAAGCAGGTGTGTGTGCTGAGCACTAATAAATAAGGGCACGTTATGTTTATGCAGGCGAATAAATCTTCTCAAGAAGCACATATGAGTCAGCAGTAGGACATTGTTGCTCTGTTAACACCTAATATAGTCCTGTCCTGTAGCTGAGGAGTGTATTGTGAAGATGATTGTCAAACACACCAGTTCCCCCCCCGATGACATGCACAGACTGCAGTGTTGTCACTTGATTTTGTTGCCTGAAAAGGTTTTTAGGCTCTGAGTTAATGAGTTATTTTTATTTCCTGTTGATATTCTACGATGAAAAGGTGCCAAGTCTCGTCGGCAAACAATTCCTTATCTTCCAGGTCTGCATAACATAACATGGTTTCTAAATAGCAACACAATAAAGATCTGTAACACAGATTCCCTCGACAAGACACAGCCACAAAATTACCTAATGATACAGGAACTTGTAGTTGACATTGTCTCTCAGTGTTGCCAACTTATTACAAATGTGCAAAGTATCTAATAGCTAAAGCAGCAGACATGCAGTAAACCTTTGGGTCTTTTTCACAGTGGACATTTTGAGTTGTCAGCACAGGTGCTATAAAGTGCACTAACAATGGCTGTGTTTTATTCAAGTGCTCCAGTAAATCATGACTGTGACATTGAACCAGCATGCGCAGCACCAGGACCCTGAAACCAGAGCAGCTAACAGGAATTTTAGCTGCCCTGAGACTTTATTTTTACACCTGTGCTTCCCCTACTGTGACATGTCAGAATGCTGTCTGTGAAGAAGAACTATAACTATTATAAAGTGCTTTTGAAATGGCAGTTTGACCCATAGCCTGCTGATTGCTGTGCTGGTTTGGATGATTTCGAAATATCCCCCTGAAGGATTTTTCTGCTGAGGTCAAAGAGTGGGGTAATTATAAAATACTGTGTGTTAACCATAAATCAAAAGTTGCGTTCCTTTCAGAAATAACAGTCTTTCCATTTTGGACGTTACATTCTGTACACTGCCACATAGTGCTTCTCTCTATGCCTGTTATGCTCTCAGTCCGATCATATTAGTGCTCTTTTCATTATGAGTATATCCCTAATGTTCCCTGATTAAAAAATATCTAATAGTCTATGGATTAAAATAAAAGCAGCAAACCCTCCAAATTTAGAAGCTGACTGGAGCGCTACCTTGAGAAATTACTTTAAAGGAGACCACCACCTAAATTAAGATTTCCAAAATGTTATTTCCATGTTCTAGGAAAGTTCGATCAACATTTGTGGACATGAGCTACTCTATCTCAACGCCAGAAACCAGAGAAGGTAGTCGTAAACTTATGATGTCATAGCACAGTGTTTCCCAACTGGTCCAGCCATGGGGCCCAGATTTCTCCTTAGTCATTAGTTCAAGGTCCACACAGTTAAATATACTCAGTGTCACACTTGCACTTGGCCGTGTTGTTGAGCTGGTTTCCTGTCTCTGTTAAATAGCTAACTGTTTGTCACTCACTCTACAGCAGGGAACGGTACTTTAGAATAAAAGCTCTGTGCCAGAGATTCACTGAACTTTTTTACAAACAATTCAGAATGGACCCAGGATCCACTTTTGGACCTTGGCCCACCAGTTGGGAACCACTGTCATTGGATATAAAGTCTGGAGCTGCACTATTGACATTGAATGGGAGTGTGATTTTGTGCACCCACGGTTGTTGTCTCCAAATTAGCTTTATTCTACTGTGGTGTTCTTAGTTCCGAAACAGAAAATGTACCCATACACTCAAAACATTCTCCTTGGTGCTCTCACTATCATCTAAAATATCCTCCCTGATTCATTGTCTATGGAATAACTTCAGACGTTACACCCTATGACATCATACATTTCAGTTTTAGCACTTTAGTTTTTAGATTTATGAGGAAGTTAACTTGTGTTTTTGGACAGTCTTTGACCATAGGAATAACGTGTAGATTTTGAAAATGGGAATAGTTCCCTTTTAACAATTAGTCAATTATCAAAGCAGTTGTTGATTATTTCTCATTTAATTGTTTCTGCTCAAGTTTAGTTTTTCTATGACTATTAAAAGTAAGAGTCTTTCAAAAAATAACAAAATCAACTGAAACAAAGTAAAAAATAAATGATGTCCTCTCCAAAAAACTTCCCTGTATCACTTTCTCTGACTCAAGAGCACAGTGCTGGGAGGGTTACTTTTTAAAATGTTATAGGCTACACATTATTAGCTACCCTGTTGAAAATGTAATAAGTATTGTAACTATTTTAAGTAATTTGATTACTGTTTGATTACTTTTCTAAAAAATGTTTTAAACTGGCAATAAAGCTGAAAAATGTCTAAAAACAGGCTCTGCCAAAAGAAGGCATTGATGCACCACATAAAAACGCAAGGCAACAGACTCTGTGTTATATTCTACATATCCTGCTGAGACTCTGTGTCCTCATATGAGGACATCACATTTAGGTTTACTGGACCTTATACTTCATTCTGCTCAACTTAGACCTCTTGTCCTTGTCCCTTTTTCGTCCCATCTATTGGCAGTAAGACCACATACTAATCCATGTAAAAACAAGATGGCAGCCATCTCTGCCAAGTCAGTCTGCAGCCGATCCCGACACAAAAGTGGACAAGGTCCAAAACCTGATCACATTTAATGGTTGGAACTTGTTTTTATATGATTTTTTTGTAGTTTTGATATGACAAAATAATTGACCAATTTTCGCAACAATAACAAGCTAAGACACTGTTAATTAGAAAGTACTTGTCTGAAGACGCTGGGAAGTGATCATCAGCTCATTGAAGGACATTGGGACGTTATTATCGTCTCGTTTGAGGACATTGGGACTTTTTTATTGTCTTCTTTGAAGGACATTGGGGCGTTATTATTGTCTCGTTTAAGGACACCGGAACTTTATTATCGTCTCGTTTAAGGACACTGGAACTTTATTCTCATCTCGTTTGAGGAGATTGGGACTTTATTATCGTCTCATTTGAAGCCACTGGGACTTGAGGACATTGGGGCGTTATTACTGTCTTGTTTAAGGACACTGGAACTTTATTATCATCTCGTTTGAGGACATTGGGACTTGAAGACATCGGGACTTTATTATCGTCTCGTTTGATGGCATTGGGACTTGAAGACATTGGGACGTTATTATCGTCTTGTTTGAGGACATTGGGACTTGAAGACATTGGGATGTTATTATTGTCTCGTTTGAGGACATTGGGAATTTTTAATTGTGTTATTTGAAGACATTGGGATGTTATTATTGTCTCGTTTAAGGACACTGGAACTTGAGGATATTGGGACTTGAGGACATTGGGACTTTATGATCGTCTCATTTGAGGACATTGGGACTTGAAGACATTGGGACTTTATTATTGTCTAGTTTGAGGACATTGGGAATTTTTTATTGTCTTATTTGAAGACATTGGGGCGTTATTATTGTCTCCTTTGAGGACACTGGGACTTGAAGACATTGGGACTTGAAGACATTGGGACTTTATTATCGTCTAGTTTGAGGACATTGGGACTTGAAGACATTGGGACTTTATTATCGTCTAGTTTGAGGACATTGGGACTTTATTATCGTCTTGTTTGAGGACATTGGGACTTGAAGACATTGGGACTTTATTATCGTCTAGTTTGAGGACATTGGGACTTGAAGACATTGGGACGTTATTATTGTCTCGTTTGAGGATACTGGGACTTTATTATTTTTGACAATGTTTAGTTTTCATACTCATCAGGTCCTACTGATCCCAAACAGCTGGTAGAAATTAAAAATGCACACCAAACGAGGGTTCCGGTCTCACATGGATATGAAATTTCTACCAAAAACATACCAAATACATTCAGATATACCTCCTTTGTGACCTCCAACATTTTGATTATAACTAAAGTTTGATTACATATTTTTTCTCACTAACTGTGACTGATTACAGTTACAGTTGTCATGTAATTTAATTACCCAACACTGCAAGTATCCAGGTAAAGAAATCCAGATAAAACCCAGTGAGGTCTCCCGCTGCCTCTGCTTGGTGAGACCACACACAACGAGTGCCCTCCTGGAATTTATCATCTGCTGTTCCTTCTCTCTGAGGAGAGCTTTTTACCAGAGACGTTTACCAGCTTAACTTAACAAAGCGTGACATCTTTTAAAGGATGAGCCTCAGCTTTGTCCCTTCAAACATCCAAAATACCTGTGGAGACAGTGTGCTGAGTTTTCTTATATTATCTTTTACAGTGCAGAGGAACTGTGCCCAGAGGAGGTTTCAGCTACGTAGATTCATCATTACCCACAGCCATGAAGAAAACATTGTAATGAAGCGCTGTGAGTGATGTTTTCTGGTTTACCTGAGGACAATTGGTGGTTTCCTTACAACACCCTGCTGTCAAGAGATTCACTTTCACAGTGAATCATTAATGTGTACATGTCACATTATCTTGATAAACCTTCAGTGATTAAGTTCTTTGCTATGTAACACTCTCTCTGTGAACCTTATTTGGGCACCTCCTAAACTGTTTGCCCCTTGTTCCAGAGAACCGGTGAGCCCTTGTGTGGGAGAGCTGTGATCCTCAACACAGACATGAGTGTGTTTCAGCACAAAGGGCTGCACAAGCCCGTCGACTCCCTTTTTTTCTTCACCATCCTGGAATCTGTTGTTTAAACCAGCCCCTTTCCGTTAGATTTGGCGTTATTCAAGCTTGCACATAAATGTGAGCGGAGCAGCTCCTCCTCTGCTACACTGTCCTTGGGGCCATTTGTTTTCCATCATTTTTGAGAAGATTGGAGTCATGCTTGCCGTGAGTCATGTGGGTGGGTGGATGTCTACACAGGGTGTGGTGGGTGAAGGATCCTAGTGGCGCTTGCGGCTGCCAGTGGAGGAATAAAGCATCCAATTTGGCTCAAAATTGCACAAATGCAAATGAATGGATGGGGAACTCTTTATTATGATCGTGGGGAGTTAAAAACAGCTCTTCCACTCTGCTGTGGGAGTCCTCAGTTAAGTTGTAGCAAAGCAGGAAAGCTGATCCTCAAACAGCTGCACCAACATGCTGATCAGCCCTTTGTGCAAAGACCTGGAAGTCGGCTAAGTCATGCATGTTGCTTTTGCACCAAAAATTAATGTGGCAAAACAGTGTCTGCAACCATATAGACTCTTTCCACTTCTAATGTGTGCACCAGATGTGCTCCAGCTGCAGCAGGATGGATATGCTGCATACAATAGATCAGCAGACCCTGAGATGGTTGCCTGCAATCTATAAAAAGAAAAAAACAGAAAGACAAAAAAATCCCACCCACCCCCCAAATCCCCAAATCACTCCTCTGCACCTCCTCCCAAAACTTTGCCAGTTTGGAAAAGTGGTGACTAAAGCAGCAGCAGCAGCAGCAGGAGCAGGAGGAGTTCACCACTTTTTCTTTTTACAGTCGACTATCTGTCTCTGCAGAGGTGAGTCTGACAACTTAATTGGTTCCCTCAGGCGGTGTTTTTTTTTTTTTTTCTTTTTTAAAAACCCAGCTTTTCGTGCCGTCTACTACACCTGCCTGCCAAGCTCCAGCGCTGATGGGCGCGGCTGGGACCTGTGCCCAAATCTGTGTTTTGACTTGCCTGGGAAAGTTGAGCGAAAAGGCACAAAAGGACCGAGGACTTTAAGAACATCCCACCACGGCGCGTCAACTCCACATAAACACATTATCCCTCCTGTGGACGGTCGCAGTCGGTCCATCCTGAGAGCACTCGGGATTTAATTCTCACTGGAGCTGGCTGAAGGTATGGATTTCATAACCTGAATGAGACTTCTTCTGTATATAAAAACTTGTGTATGGTGGATGGTGCTTCCCACCTGGCTGTTGCATCTTTCTACACTAACAACGGCGCTGTGGGATTTTGGTGATGGGCTGTCGAGCTCTTTTCTTTAACTTCACAGCTACAGAATTTGTTGGATGAAATTGCACAAACTTCTTTATATTCCCCACAAAAAAACTACAAGTACTTTTGATCTAGTCTGTGAAGCTCAGCAGGGGGTTTTTTGGGATCAGTTTTCTTCCGGTGTTATCTATAGAATAAGTCTGTTATAGTGATCTCAGGATAGTTTTACATGTATTTTTACTGGGCTATTTGCATCCCTCTAAATATATTCCAGAACCTGACAAGCTGGAGCACCAGCTTGATGTGACATAAGCCTTTTATATTTGCTGTTCAGATCAGTTTCAAGCAGTAAGTCTGTGAGAGCTCTGATGAAAAGAAGTTGTAGATGTGTGGAGAAATGTAGGTGTTATTGATTTCCACTAATATTTTACATGTCTCAAAGCTGGAGGAAGCTAAAAACTTTAATTCATTTTGCACTCTACAGGCTAGTAATTGCTGTTTCAGTGACTCAGGCTGCAAGGAAACAGAAAGAAAAGCCTGTTTTGAGAGTGCTAGTGCTTTTTACTCTCTGAATATGATATAAAATGTGCAGTAAGTGAAGCACATGTTGTTAAATGTCCTTGGCTGGCAGGGTGTGGTGAGAGGATGGTCTTTCAGAGCTGTGCAGTGATCCTCAGGCCTCTTTTGTTCCTTTGTTAGCCTTTAAAGAAGCAGGTACAAAGTCTATTGAGATCTATGGATGATGCTTTATAGCTCCTGGGAGCTTTAATGTGGTTTCAACTATTCAGAAGAGGTATGGAAAGTTTTTGAATACAGTATAGATGATGTCTTTGGATGTTCAAAGGAAATCTGTATCTGGAATATTAGATTGTGGTTTTAAAACATGATCATGAGACTGCTGGGAGGACATTTTTGTTTGTCCTCAGTGGTTTGAATCTTCTAATTGATGCAGTAAACAATCACAAACAAGCAGCCTGGTCTTTAACCCAAATCATTCCTGGCGTAACTTTGGGCCTTTCCCCATCCGAATGTTTGCTAAAATGCCATTTAACCACAGTTACAAGTTCAAGGAATAAACTGACTTTTGACATCAGCTGGCGCAGTGTCTGCATGACGGTGGTCACCATTTTATCATCATGTCACCAGATAAAATGGGATGGACGAGTTAACAAGACAGATGGACTTCTCGGCAGGCTTGTCGGGAGAAAAGGGTGAGATTTCTGAATTTATTTATGAAGTTTTACGTAAACAAAAAAGTCACCAGAGAATACACATTTCACACTTGTAGCTGTAGATGAAACACAGCGTGGGCTTTAGAGATATCTGAGACATCTCAGGCCACACAAACAACATGGAAACATGTATTTACCAACAACACAGACCTCATTGTGGCAAGAGATATAAAAATATGCCATGTGAAAGCTTAATGAAAGATTGGCGCAGTTTGTTTAAAAGCCCCCAAAACACTTATGCATCTTATCTTCCTGGGTGATGCTTTTGTCTCTGTGTTTTTGAGGGTTTACTGTCACTAACATCAAGGCATGCCTTCACTGGTGTTGGTTTCCATTTCTGCTCCTCGCTCTCAAGGCTCAGGGTGTAAGTCATCCTTTGGGTTTTTCCTCCAGTAGTCATAACTGGATGTAGAAGGACAGCTGGCAGCTCAGCTCGGCCTAATGACTTTTGACACAGGGGAGGATGGCGAAGGCCGAGGAACGCCTGATTACATGTTTGAAGCTAACTGGGAGAAACATGTAATCAGCCACCCTGCTGCCTTCGTGTTCTTCTCTTCTTTGATATGTCACTTATAGAAGAAAGTTAGTCAAGTTTATACATGTGTCACCTTTTTAAATCAGTAGTTACAAAGTGCTTTAGAGGAGGAGACACACAAGATGACGTGGATTGGACACATATGCAAAGCTGGAAAATCATTTAAGAAAAAAAAGCAAGTGAGTATGTTTGTTATGATTTGGCTTCTTGGACGCTGCTTCAGAGTTGAGGAGCAATGGCAGCAGAAGCATGATCACCTTTAGATTTAAGCAGTGACCCTGAAACAAACAGAAGTCCCTAAAAGGAAGGAGGAGGAGGATGGGAGCTAGGAGGCAGCATGAAATCGAAATGGAATTTACATTATCTATAATCATTAAAGCCCAACAGGCAGCAGCTGCGGAACAAGATGCCTCCCAGTGGACAGAGGGTGTCATTAACATTAATTATCTGCACCCACTCCATCATAAACATGACAAGAGTTACCCCAACTTTATACAATGAATCAGACACAGTTTAACCACCTCTATGAGACTAAAGAGACACATACATAAATATGAATACGTCCTCAGCACAAAGAGTCTGAGAGTATAAGCCAAGCTGAGGTTGGAGGCTCGTTGTTGAAAATGGTCATTTGACAAAAAAAAGAAATCCAAGCAAGAAGAACCACGAGCTGGAAATGTTCTGGAGCATTTATGGAAATGGTTTGTTTCATAATTACGTTTTATGATAATATCTAAACCGTCTCCATGATGACGGAGCAAACTGTCCGCAAATGAAGGCCTGGATATCTGACCAAAAGCTCAGGGAACAAAATGAAAGCTGTGACACACACACACAGGAAAGACTGACGTGTCAGATATATTTGTTCGTTATTTGAATAACTAACTAAACAGACAAACTTGATCACACTCAGCATTCAGAAACACTGGCACTCCCTCATGAGGCGGCTTTTAAAATCTGTGCTCATGGTTAATAAATCATTTACAGCACTGTTGCTTTATTAAAAGTCACTAATAAGAGCAACTTTTAGGTTGCCAGGTTGTAGACAATCTCCGTTACTGGTTTCTAAAGTTGATGAACATCTCAGTTTCTAAGACGCAATCAACTTTACAGTAGAAGATGTGAAGCTGACATCACGTCGTCTCTATCTTTTTGGATGCAAGCGCCATCTTGTGAAGTACGCGCTCTGCTACCTTGGCCTGCTAAGGTGGTCAGGCAACAGTATTAGGACAAACTAAACACAATAAACAACACAGATCCGTACGTGTTGGCAGCCCAAGACTGATTCCAGACCCTGACGCAGTGCCTCCACTCACATACCCAGACATTGTGATCTCATTTTTAGAATTTAGACGGAGTACAGACACTTTGGTAATAGAGATAACAGAGCACTTACCTCACAAGATGGAGCCCCTGTGCCACACGGTGTGACGCATCTCACATTCTCCGTGCATTAAGTAATTATGTTATATATATATATCACTTATTTAAGCTACTGGTGAGAAGTATTTTAAGTTTGGTGAGTCATTGATAAGAGGGTGCAGGTTTCTTACAGTCTAATTAGGATTTTACAGTGATAATAATATATGTTCATTAAGTATGTACTTGTAAATGTTCTTAATAAACTGACACTGACTTCAAGGTCAGAGGAGGAGAAGCAACTGACCTGCTGGAGGAGGATAGGCACCAACCTGGCAACCCAAACACTGTTCTTATTAATGGCTTGTAGCTGATATATTAAGGAATGTTGTTAAATGACTCAATTAGTTTTTGCTGTTATTAGAAAGTGTTACTGAAGTTTTCACAGTGGCTGTAAATCCGTCACCCCTGTCTGTCAATCAAAGTCATCTTATTTTAGGTCTCATCACCGTGCCACTCACTTAACACTCAACACCTGTAAACAACTCCCAGGATAATACCGTCAATAATTTTCTTTCTGTTTATGTGCACAGTTGTGACAGAAACAGTAACCACCACCACCAGACTGACTTCTCTACCACCAAGTGAGTGTCTCTCTCTTCCAGTCATGCTCGCTTTAATTATAAACCTAACGCATAATACAATAATTATAGCCGAGCAGCACTGAAGGAAGTTCCCGATGAGTAACAGCTTCTCCTTGTTTTGCCATGTGTCTCCTCGTTGCTAGAGGGAACCAGCGGATCAAATCACAGGAATATGTCCAGCGGTGCTGGAGGGCTGGGCTTGGAGAAGAATGTCTTAACCCAGAACAGCGGTGGAACTTATTTCTCCTCATGTGAGAGCAAATTTCCACTCGTGGTCCAAAATTGGGAAGTTGTGGGTTCGTTTTAGGATAAGTTTTGAGATGCTGCATGTTATATTTTTAACCCCTGGCCAGTAGAAAGAAGGAGAAGTAGTCATTTCATTTTACATCACTTGCAGTTTTTAAGAAGTTCTAGACTCTTTTTTACTGCGCTACATTTATTTTACTGGTAACTTTACAAGTTAAATATATAAAAACTTCATATATGAAGAGCTTATAAACCATGATGCTTTGTTACAGAGCAAACTACCCAACAGTTTACCTGTTTACAGTTAGAGCTGACACAAATCAGTTTGTCAACTGACAGAAAATCAACTGAGAGATGTTTTAATGATCAGTTTAATGGAAAAAGTAGAAATCATTGAATGGTTCCAGCTTGTCAAATGTGAGGATTTGCAGCTTTTTCCTTACAATAATAAGTATTTCTACTTAGTTTGCCCAATTATTAGACAAAACAAAGAATGTGAAGGTGTAAGAGTTTTACAAACCCAACAATTAATCATTTAATTAGTCAAGAAAATGATTATAACAAAAATGATCATTAGCTGCAGCCCTATATGAAACAGTTAAAAAAATAGCTCCACTTCAACAAACTACAACAGTAAAATGCAGCTTACACATTAATGCATCAGTAATACTAATCTAATGACATAATATATAATAGTACAGACAGTTATTTTTCTGCAGTGAGTAGCTTTACTTTTGATACATGCTTTTACTAAAACAGGACTTTTACTTACAGTGTGGTAATACTACTTTTACTTAAGTAAAACATGTGAATACTTCCTCCATCTCTGCCCAAAGCTTCCTGAAATTTCCTAAAGAGGAACTGAAACTGTAAATACATCTGAAGGGTCCTGCAAAGAGCTTTGTAATTTAGTAGTAATTATAAGGAAATGGTCACAGTATTGATGTGGTACACCTACAATAGTCTTAAAGTCAGTGCACAGCAGGTCAGCTGAACAGGTAGCAAAAAGTACAACATGTATGGAGAGGAAAGTTAGCTAGAAAAAGTTGGCTTTGTATGTTTCTGCAAGCCATGGAAATGTTACATTTGTATGTTACTGTGCAGCGGATACACTAAATGTGGTGAATGTGTGGTTAGGTTTAGGCCCAAAAACCACTTGCCTATGGTCAGGAAAAGGTCGTGTTTTGGCTTTAAATACCCGCTTACGGTGGCACTATCTGGGCAGGGAAAGCTCCAATGTCCCGCTAAAAAACAGCCGCTTTTCGTGGTTCTATCCCCGCTGGAAAACTATGAAAAAACACCCACGTTTGATGGCTAAAAAGCCACTGGAAAGAAACACAGCGATAACTTGCTAAATCACAGCCTTTGGTGTTGTTTGTTGGTCTTGAACAGTAGTCGGCAGCTTGGAAGGTGTCCTGCCCAGGTGACACATCACCCACCATCCCCTCACCTCTAGATGACAATGCTCATATACTACATCACTTTAGAAATGATATCATACATATGGAACGTGCAAATGTAACATATCCCAGGGTGTCTACAGCTCCTTAAAGAGTCTTAACGTGTCTTAAATTAAGTATTCTTAATATACAGTAAGGCCTTAAAAAGTTTTAAATTGTCTTAAATTCAGATTCGATTGGTCTGAAATACTTTCAGCCACATTACCGTGAAAATGTCTCCAGCCTGATAGACCCAATGACTGTTTATGATCATTAGACAGACTGAATAATTACAATAATAAATAGCATTTATGACAGAGATGAAATTTTGTATTTACATTAAACACATTAAACTTAAACTCACTCAGTTGTTGTCATTTTCCTTTACTGATCATTTTGAACTGACATCAGTGTGTGTACTTGGAAAGAGTACTTACACACTTACAGTACACACACATAGCCTATATAAAAAGTGTGTATTTCCAATGCAAGTTTGGTCTTAAATTTCACACAAGGTGGTTTTAAAAAGGTCTCAAAAAGTCTTTTAACTTGGTTATATCTGTAGACACCCTATTCGCGGTTTGCAGAAACACCACTCTCACTGTGTCAGTGTTTACAGTCATTAATATCTCTTATGTTAATCCCTCTGCACAACAATAAGTATTTATAAACCGAGGCAGCTAATTCAACACAAATAACTGTCTACTAAATTTTGTTTCCAGGAAATTCCTTGAAAATTATTAGGAAATACTGTGACCTATGAGGTGTTACCACTGATTTTAAGTACTTTGTATACTGTTGGTTAGTTTAATTGCATCATACTCTCTTCATATGTTTTGTTATGTATGAAAAATATTAGTGAAGTAACAGCTGTCACATGGATGTCGTGCAGTAAAAGCTACATACTTTCCCTCTTAGATGGGGTGGAGTTTATAGAGGTATAAAGTAGCATGACATGGAAACACTCATCCCAATTAAAATAAGCAGAAGTACGTCCAGTTCAGCCTCACATGACGCAGGGATATTCATGTTTGTTTAGAGCTGATCCTGTTGCAATAAATCAAAAATAACTTTTACGCATCGTCCCTCCAGCCTCTGTAGGTGTGAACACCGGCAGCTACAGCTCCTCCTCGGGTGTGTACCTTGGAGGAGACTCCTCAGGAGGAGGTGATGGAGGGGGGATCTTCCTAGACCTGGAGGGGTATGGAAGCAGCGGAGGTGGCGTTGGAGGAGGAGGAGGTGGCGGCGGAGGAGGAGGAGGAGGCAGAGGTGGCGGCAGTTATCTCGTGAGCTCCGTGACAAAGGTCAGATCCAGCTCGTCGGGTGGTGCCAGGAGGGGGCAGACTGCTGGCTCATCAGGAGGCCTGTCGCCAGGTTTCCGGGAGAGAAAGATCATAACGAGCCGCTCAGGAGGCTACGACGGTGAGGTCATGAAACAAGTTGGCATCAGGAGTGTCTGAAACACAAGTTTGAGAAGTGGAGGAAACTGTTGTGCAGGAGGGTGTTGTTAATAAATCTGCTGCCATTGTGTTTCCTTTTATAGGAAGTTCCAGTGCTAATTCCTCTCCTGAGTTTACACGCAAAGATTATGGAGTCTATTGTGAGTGAGAGTGGCGGTTATATTGGATTATATACTTTCTGATTACACAATGTTATTCTAGCTTTATCCTCATGATGTGTCTGTGTGTGTGTGTGTTTATGTTTTCTCTCCAGGCTCCAGCGGCACCACAAGAGGGCGGAGCGAGAGCAGAGGTATTCATTACTTTTTTCTCTCCCTTCCTCCCTTCATTATTTCTGCACCATCTGACTCTGAATTGTCCTGGCTTACTTTTTTATTAAACCAGGATTCCTGTGTCCATTGTGTGTGTTTGTGTGTGATTTTTTTCCAGAGAGCGAGATCAGAGCCAGATTACAAAGTGCCTCTCCCACGGCCGGCAGATGTAAGACCACTTGAGACACACTGATCCGTTCGCTGCTGGTTATGCAAGTCCTCATAAAGCAACAAAGCATCTTTATTTGAGTGTGTTCATTCAGAGAACCACATGGATCATGGAACATTTTTACAGCAGGGTTACTTTAGTGCAGTGTGTTTCTTTTTTTTTTTTTTTTTGAGTTACGCTGCTGTCAAATACTTTGGCTCAGCATAAGTCACTCCTCTTCCACCACCTCTCACGTGGATGTTTAACTTTTCACAATTAGTAACACATGTGCAGTTCCCCCAGACAAAAGGTGCATGCGTCAGCAGAAAGAAAAGCTCAAGATTTAAACAATGACGCTCATGGGTTTGTGTTTGCATTGTGTGCATGTGGGGAAGAAGTGAAGGGGCATGTTTGTGGTGGCAACAATGGCAAACATGAGTCACTGTTTGCAGCACCACCCGTTTGGGGCAGAGCAGCAGAGAGTCAGAGTTTAACCGATGGTGATTGCTCCCCCTGCTGAATAAAGTGCATAATATTTAATCCCCATTTTTTACCAGTTAGTCACTCTGTGCCACCTTAACACTACTTCACCCCCTCTCAACCATGATGGAAGAACTATTTAGTGATTTTATTTGAGTAGAAATAGCAATCCAACAATATGGAGTGTAATTAATGACTTTTACTTAAGTACTGTCCTTGAATACATTTTTTGGGTACTTGTACATCCCATTTTATGCTAGCCTACTATGTCTTAGGGGGTATTATTTAAGTTTTGCTGGCTACTTTTTACTCCACCACATTAGTATGACAGATTTTACACATTGTATTCATGCATTGTTACAGATCAAACTAAGCAGGAGTATATAAAGAAGTAGAATTAGTCCCACGTCCACCAGCTACAATATTAAACACAGTACATTTGTAATGATAATCCATAAATCAAATACTGTAGCTATAACATGCTGACAGCTGCCTTTCTATCTTTTAATTTTATGATTGAAGTAGGCCTACATTTTTTGCTCCTGCTTTTATATTTGTACATGAGTAAATTTATGAATGTAGGACTTTTAATGTTCTATATATCCAAGTAAAATTCTCAGTACTTCTTCCACCACTGGCGACAATGCCAAAAGTAAAAGTCTTGAATTCAAACTTTTTACTTCAGTAAAGAGAGTGTCATATTGTTGTATATTTAGATTTTAGGTGTTTATATTCATTGCTGCACCCTCTGCCATGCTCAGAAGAGATAGCCGTGGCTAGCCTTAGCTAAAATTAAAGCTAAATAAATAGTAGCAGGCTTGGAGCCAAATGGAGGCAGCTGGAGGAATTTGGTTAGTTTCAAAAGCAGGTGACAGAACACCAAACCAAAAATGAAGACGTACTGACAAAGAACAAAGGAACTGGGCAGGTATAAGTAGGGAGACACTGATTGGGGAAGTGACAACAGGTGAGCAGACTGCAGGACTAGTGAGGAGTGAGGGACAGGTGAAATTAATCAGACAATCAAAACTGAAAATACAATGGCAGAAATGAGAAGAGATATAAGTAACAAAATAGGAAACGAACGAAATGACAAAACAAAATAACAGATTTAGCTGTTATCTGTAAAATATCTATTTTGATCAGTTGGCATTTTTGTTACTCGGTTACTTATTTCACATAACTAAATGCAGTGGTGGATGAAGTACCTCAGAGCCATACTTGAGTTTAAAAGTACAGATATCTTAAATGACTTTGGTAGAAGATAAAATCCCCTATTAGAATATTACTTGAATAAAAGATTTACAGTATCTGATATTTACTGTAGTATTGGAAGTATTAGCACAAGTAAATGCTGGCAATAAAAAGCAAACGGTCAGAATCCTGAGGATTGTAAAATGTATTTCTTCTTAACATGTACACCACCTTAAAAATGGAGTGTACATTACACTGTAAACTAAGGTCTTCTTCAGAGTGTAAAGGATTTAAAGACCAATTATCCAGTTTTCCTTTCCTCAAATTCATCAAGTTGTCCCTTCCTCCCTTCCTTTCCTATTCTGTAGTAAGTAACACTTAGGGGAAATGTAGTGGAGCAAAAGTGACGGTTTACAAAAATAAAAAAACTCAAGTAAAGTACGGATACTCCCAAAAAATACTTAAGTACTGTAACAAAGTATTGTTACTTCATTACATTACAATACTGACTAAATGAGGCAGTAGCTAAAGCCAATCATGATGGAGAAAAAAAACGACACTCCAGCTAAAGCTAACTAGCTTAGCAGATCCCATGTGTAAGCTATCTTTAAACCACACACTAATAATGGAGCCTATTCAATTTTTAATTCATGTATTACATTTATTTCAATATAAATATTAATAGTACTCGTATACATTTAAGTTTTCACATTCATGTTCCCTTGTTTAGGCAATTAGTTTTGGGGGGGCTAAATAATCAGCTTATAAAATGGCTGTTTCTGTAGATACAGCGCTCTGCCTACAGGGCAGTATGGCTGTCCAGTAAATGTTAGTGAATAAAAAGTACCTTACTTTTCATTAAAATTTAGTGGAGTTAAAGTACCATGAAGTACCCCAATTTTACGTAAGTGCAGTACTTCAGTAAGTGTGCACTCCAACACTGACACTGACTGAGATATTGCATTATTACATTTGGTGAGCATTGTTTGTGGCGTCACAGGGACAGAGCTGGATGACGTGAAGAAGCTGCTGAAGGGACGCTCCAACAGCGTGAGCCCCACTCGCACCTCCAGCACCTCGGTCACCCTGCCTGTCCCTAAAAAGGCCAGCGTGGAAACCAAGACCATCTCTGTGACCTCCCAGACGGGTATATACCCTTACCACAGCCACACACACACTCACACACATACTTCACATGCACAGACACCTTGTCTCCCTCTCTAAGGTATGTGGGTTAAAATGGTCTCAGTTTGTGCCCCTCATGTATTAGCATAGCATTAGCCTACATTCCAGACGCACAGCTGGTTTTCTGAAAGATGAATCCTTTTTGAACCCAGACGTCAACACTTATCACGGTTACAGTATTTTTAGACTCCTGAAAGACTTCTTCCTTGTTGCATGATTAAAATGACGCCTCCTTTCTTATTTTAAACGACCTACAAAATATCAACAAGTTATTATTTTTCGCTCTTGCAGGTTCGACTTCATTTGGCTCTGGTGCGCTGAGTGGGTTCCACACCATTGACACATCCGGCCTGTATGACACTGCTCTGACATCAGGACAGTATGATACTGGTGTAAAATCCGGCCAGTATGATGTCACTCTGAAGTCAGGCCAATATAATACTGGATTGAAGTCAAGCCAGTACGATATGGGTCTGAAATCAGGACAGTATGATACTGGTCTCAAATCAGGCCAGTACGATGTCAGTCTGAAATCAGGACAGTATGATACTAGTGTGAAGTCAGGACATTATGACGTCACTGTGAAATCAGGACAGTATGACACCAGCATGCGAACAGGCCAGTACGACACGCTGGACGCCACACTGCCTACCTTCTCCTGGTCCACCTCCACGCTGCCCTCCGCCAACACCACGGTGGTCGCTGGCAACACCAGCAGCTACTCGTACCAGGTCGGCACCAACAACATGTCGGGGGGAACCTCGCCTGTGGGCCTCACCTCACCCTCGTCCCTGTCAGGTGAGACCGAACGCCCCTCGAACGTCACCTGCAATTTTTTCTCAATATTTGGTCAAGTGTGTCACATCTTTGTGTGCTGTTTTATGATTATTATGTATGTTATTTAACTAAATCAAACCCTGTATCTCTGTTTACAGTTTACGGCTTCCAGAATAATCTGGCTCCCACCTCTCCCACTGTGCTCACCACCAGTGGAGGCAACATAAATGCCAACCTAGGAGGTACGGCAGCATGCTCTCTCAACACTGTGACATATTTGCACTTGACAATAAAAGAAAATAGCACATTTTTTACTTGCATGTTCATCTGTGTGTGTTTGTATTTGCAGGTTATGGCGTTCAGAAGAATTTGTCAACTGGTGGTGGTGGTGGTGGTGGTGGTGGTGGTGGTCTCGGTCTCATCACCACTCAACAAGTAACAAGTGAGTCCACAACACATTTATTTAATCTCATAAAAAGTGATCACAGTCAAAAACAGTGCTCAAATTTAAATGATTTACGACTGTCTTGTCTTTGTCGTCGTCAGCCACTAGATCCCAACCTGATGATTCCTTTAAGAGAGAAAAGTTCCTGATCTCCGATAAAGAGAATGCTCCAGTGAAGAGGGACACAGAAATGTTCATTTTGTCCAAAGACAGCGGGAAGCAGTTCACCAGCACCGGCAGCATGCAGATAGGTGGTGGAGGAGGTGAGTCTGCTGAGTACTGCCCCCTTCTGGACAAACTCTGAATTTTCTCTCTCAGCTTAAAGGGATAGTTTGGATCTTTTGTAGTAGGGTTGTACGTATTACCTACAGTACATGTTGGTTGAAATAGTCCCAGTTTGGAGAAGCAGGCAGGAATACAGACACAGAAGCTAAACAATGTACTGCTGTGGATGGGGGTTGCAGCAAAATGTAGTTTAGCCTCCTAAAAAACGTTCCCCATCCATGCTCTCGTCAAAGGCCACCAGACTCCATTGAACACATACAGTAATTATAACTTGCAGAACACTGGAGTTTCTGGTCTCATGTGACGCTCTTGTGTTCAGCTAAGTTAAATTACTGCTTTCTTCAATGGAGTCTGGCTTTGAAGAGAGCGATGTAACGGCTTCAGTTCCCCATCAAAAATAGCCATCTGGCAGCTGTGTAAAGTTGTGAAAATATTCTAAATATAGTGTACACTTAAAGTGATGTTGATATTTTAGGTGGCTAAAATAGGTTTTGCTGCTGCCCCCATCGGTAGTACTCCAGCCTGCTTCTCCAAATTGGAGGCATGCTGGCTGTAGGTAATATACTGACAATATGTACCTCATACAACCCCACTTCAAAACATCTGAACTGACCCTTTAGTAGGATTTTTCAGCTTTTCTGGACCCCAATACAACTATTCTGTTTAAACTGACACTGGTTTCTGGTCACTTGGAGGCTGTTCATGGATGTGATCCCATTAAAATATCTCAACATTGACCCAACATTTCTTTTTCTTAAGAAGCCAGAACAACCTGAACTGAATTTGAATTTACAGTTCAGTGTTTCTAGCTTTCACAGATGATTTTAACCAGATCAGGAACTGAAGTACTATCCAGGCCAGCCTCATGGAATTATGGACATGGAGACAAAATTTTCCAAATTGGTACCTCATCCGTCACCCACCCTCAGCCTTTATTCCACTATCTTCACTCTGGCTTGTAAACAGAGCCAGCCATAGCAAGTTCTATTTGAGTCTGCTCCTTTCGTTTTCTCATTTCCTCTGTACCCTGACTTTTCCTTGTCTTATCCTCTGATTTTTGGTGAGGCACTCTGACTCAGCCAGTCAGGCTCATTTTCACAATAACCGCAGGGGATTGGGTGTCAGATGACAAGTGACAAGATTTCTGGTGAGGCTTTTTGACTTAGCTAGTCGCCCCCACCCTGTGGCAGGGCTGCCTGTAGCAGTATTTATTTGTTTACCCTCGAGTGTTGGGGACAGAAATTCTGCTGTTTACTATTTTTTTTCATTTTCTATCTATAAATTGAGGATATTTGCTTGCTTATTTTTGTCTTTATAGGTTAAAGCCCTTTCTCTGTCGTGTTGTATCACATGTATCATCTGTCCTATGTTGATTATCGTGTTGTCTTGTTGTTAAAGAGCTGTGTTTCCTGGTTCTGCTTGTCAAATACAATAAAAGTAGAGTTTTAAAAAAGTATTTGTGATCTTACAGGCTCACTATCAGGAGATTCAATAAAGAAAGAGAAGCTCATTTCAAGTTACAGTGAGCCGGCACAGCTGAAGACAGAGACAGCCAACTCTTGTGAGTGCTCATTAAAAACATCTCTAATAACCAAAAGTATGTTGATTATAAAAGTAAATAAGTGATGTTTATTTATTGCTTCATCAGATGGATCATCTGGAGTTGTAATGAAAGACAAGGCCACCTATGCAGGTATTTTTTATTGCATGTTTGTTGATTAATGATGAGTATTTAAGTGTTTGGAAGTTAGGGTTTGACTCTGTCCTCTCCGTCTGCAGAGATTCACAGGGACAGCGGCATCTTTGGAGGAGGCGGAGGATTTTGCTGCTGCTCCGACTCCTGTTGCTCCTGGTGGAAATGGCTGCTGGGTCTCCTCCTCCTCTCCCTACTCCTGCTGGGACTCCTGTTTGGGCTCATTGCACTGGGTAAGGCTGACTTATACCACATAATGAGGTTTAACAGGGAACAATAAAAGTGTCCCTGAAGATAAAACCTTAGGAGTCATGGGATTCTCTCCGGAGCTGCTCTGCAGCAAAGCGCCTGGGAGTGACTGTTTTTGAACCAATAAAATGTGTGTTTCAGCTTTTACAGGCTAGTGAGCATTATTTCACAGCGCTGCTAAGAGCTGTGAGACCTTAAATGTAATCCTCTCCCTGGAAATTTGATCTGTGGGTACTGTCCCGCCGCCATGAAGTCGGTCTGGCTTTCATTGTCAGTGGAGCAGCTCCAGAAATTGTTGCTTGATGACATCAGAGACTCCAGTTTGTTTTGCTGCAGCAGCAGAGCTGTTAATGTGGATTTATCCTGATAAAAATGTGATAAAGAGAGCCTGGAATAACATCTGCAACTTGCATGCAAGCTTGTGCAAATCAAAACCTGTTGAGCTGTTACAGATAATCTGATCCTGTACAGTACATATAGTATATTTAGTGTGTGCAGGACACAATGTTCAGCTGCACTCTGTGGTAGGTTAAAGGTGTATCCTGAAGTTTTTTTGGTCCTTTTCAGTGACATACACTAACACCACACTTCCAACTTCCAACTTCTGAGAATCCACTTAGAAAACAGAGAAAGAAAAACTTGTTTTGGCCGTTCAATTTAGGACCCAAAATGCAAACACATCCAGCAAACGGGATGGTTAACAGTAGTTTATTGTAGTTTGAAAAAAATGGAGCTGAACTGTAATGATGGCTGAAGTGGGCAGGGAGTAGCAAAGCAGAGCAGGCAGATTAGCTAGAGGCAGAGCAGTCCAAATCTGAAGGCAGAAGACGAGAACAAGGCTCAATGTGGTGGGTTATGGTTGAAGCAGGCAGAGATTCACAGAGTGGGAATAGATGTCCAAAAGAACAAAAAGACAAAGTGTCAAAAAACTAGAAGTTGGCCCTGACATCTGTACCACTGAGGCGACTGAGCGATCTGGCAGAGTCTGGAGATCTGAGCTGGGTTTTATACTGCAGTGGATTGTAGATGAGGTTCAGGTGTGCAGGTTCAGGTTCAGCAGCTGCTGAATGCTAATGCTTCCGATATGCCAAAATGTTTAAAAAATATAGCTTAAAACTGGGACTAAAGTTGTAGCCCACACACATGTCCTGTTGGGCTGTTGTACCAAGTGTCATACTCTTATTTATTTCCTTTCCAGTACAGTTTGTTGAGTTATCAGTCAGTTGGGATTTTCTCTTTTATTTTGACAGTTTGGCTTTTGCTAATGTGATTTTGGCAGTTTGTGGTGGGAAAAGGTTAGCATCTACTGAACTTCAGAAACAGCTGCACAGAGGACTATACTTCAGTGTGTGCATTAACTTACACACTGGTAATAAATCAAATATATGTACATACACAAGAGGGAAAAAAATGTATGCATAAGTAATTCTAAAAAAAAAAAAAAAAAAATCCTACATAAATATGCACCACAATCTACAATCAACAGATGAGCTCACTATGTATTATATTTTTAATATTAAAGGTCCAGTGTGGAGGATTTAGGAGCATCTATTAGCAGCAAATCCTATATTACATTTACAACTATGTTTTCATTAGTTTATAATCACTTAAAAATGAGAATGAGCCATTCATGTCTACATACAGAGTGGATCCTCCTCCACAGAGTCCTCCATGTTGTTCTACAGTAGCCCAGACGGGACAAACCAAGCAGTGGCTCTAGATAGGGTTATTCGCAGGTTCAAGTCAGCCACCTTAGTTCTCCTACACGCTGGGTAAATGGGTGAAGTGTCAGTTCTGCAACCTCACCACTAGATGCCACTACATCCCACACACTGGACCTTCAAGATAGAGCTGTTTCGGGGACAGATGTCTTTTTCTGTTTTGATTGGAACGGCTACAATCTTCACCTTGTTTTGTCTTCTTTATAGATAAATTGTTATTATTTGTATTATTGAATACAGTGTTTACTGTGGGCTGTATACAAAAGATTTGTTTGTATTGTTATTTTCTAAATTCAGCTGATTCAAAAGTCAGTCAGAACGGTGCATTCAGGTGCATTCTTTTAGATCAGCGACTTCCCTAGCAAGGGTTTAGTTTATGAATGCAACACTGTCTTAATAATGATAATGATAATAACCTTTATTTCTATGCACAATTGTATGGATAAATGCAACACAAAGTGCTTTACATAAAGATGAATAATTACCAATCATCACATTATCAATGAAAAACAGTAAAATAAGTTAGAGATATAGATAGGTTTATAAACTATGGAAAACTGGTATTGATTATGAAATGATTCTCAATCTGTATTTTGTCAAATTTCAGATTGAGAATCATTTCTATCACTGCCTAAACGTGTTTCTCCTTGTAAGTTCATTTTACCAAATTTGGACGTTCCTTTTTCAGCTGAGGACGTGAGAAAGCTGAAGAATCGTGTGGCCACGCTGGAGGCCGAGTCCTCGGTCACTGCTGCTCGTACCAGCCGGCTGTCAGGTACTTCCAATGACATCAACGGCTATGGTGTCGCTGGAGGTGCAGGTGCAGGTGCAGGTGCAGTTGCAGGTGCAGGTGCAGGTGCAGGTGGAGGTGGTGGTACCTCCCACACTGACAACACGCTACTCCTAAACGGCGGAGGTGGAGGCTCAAGCTCCAAAACACGAGTCGTTGTTGCTGGCGGTGGCACCAGTGGTAGAAACGAAGTTGACGTCAGCCTTGCAACTGCTGCTGCTGGTGGTGCTGCTGGCGGTGGGGCCAGTGGGGCTAGTGGGGCTGTTGCTGGCGGTGGGGCCGGTGGGTCCACCGGGGCCAGAGCTGGAAGTGCTGGCACAAGCCATGGTAGCACTAGTGGTGGTCGTACTAGTACCAGTTTTGGTGGCGGTGTCGTCGAAGGCAGCGACTCTTCAGTACTCTTCGGCAGTAATGATGGCTACGGGATCAGTGGAGGACACACGAGCGCTGCTGCTCTTCAGTTGATGATCCAGCGAATGTTAAGAGCTGAAATGCATTCAGAGTCATACCAAGGTACTGATCATACTACATGAACACACACACACACACACACACACCGACACACACCCTGAACTAATGTTCATTGAGCTGTTGTTTTCTGTCTCAGCTTTGCTAGCATCGTCAGCGCAGAGAGGACTGCCTGGACCTAAAGGTGAAATTCAAATACATTTATTTCATAAAATCCAAACATATACTCTTTTTTTAAAATCAATTAACATGAGTCTTGTTGAATTAATGCTCATTTTTGTTTCCGTTTTTAATATTTTTAGGGGACACTGGAGCTAAAGGTCAGGATGAAAATCACTCACTGAAATCTTCACATTTTTCAGCTGTAATTCTGTTTTATTTCTTTATATTTTTCTTCTACTGCATCATAACCAAATATATGTTTCACTCATCACAGGAGATTCAGGTTTCCCTGGGATTCCAGGTAAGGAATGAAGACAAATTTTTTCATTGAGTCATTTTCTAAGACTATTTTGTGGCATCATAGTGTAATTCTGCTGACTGTGACCTTTGACCTCAGGCACTCCAGGTCCGATTGGACAACCAGGCCCTGAGGGTCCAAAAGGACAGAAAGGAAGCCAAGGTACAGACAGCTCTTCAGGTCAAACTACACGATGCCTAGCTAATTAGCAGTGAGGGTTTTTTTAACCTGTATGTAAAATGTCCGATCAGGTGATCATGGACTGGACGGGGCGCCAGGTATCAGAGGTCGCGAGGGCCCGCCCGGCCCCAGAGGTGAGGCAGGACCTCCAGGCTTTGGACCGAAAGGTGACAAAGGTATGGCTCCCAGCAGAAACATGACTTAGTGTTTGTTAATGATACAGATAACATCTAGTTATTCCTGACTGTGTCACTGCAGGATCTCATGTGTTTGGTTTATGCAGGTTCTTCCGGAGAGCCAGGACCCGTGGGACCTCCCGGCCCGTCTGGACCAAAAGGTGAGGTCACTGAACAAAGACATTCAACTTGTGTTATAACATCAAAATATCATGGGTCCTACTTGTGGACAAAAGGTGCATCTGTATCAGTTTATTGCTTCATGGTGTATGAACCTAAAGCAGCACCAGGTGGCAGCATAGAGTCAAAAAAGCCTCCACATCTCTACTTACTATTTTTATACTAAGCTCCTGCTGCTTGTACTTGTTGGAAAACGCCATATCACAGGACATTTAAGCACACGTGTTCTGATGATGACTTCATCTACAAGCACACCAACAGCATTAATTCACCCTCTTTAACTTTTTAACTGTCGTTCTAAGCTTTATCATCATTCATCCCATCCCTCTGTCCTGTGTATAAACATAAATAAACCAATAAACATCACATTTCAGAAAAGAAAAACACTCACAAAAGGTAAATGGACCTTCATCTGTATAGCACCTTTCTAGTCTCTCTGACCACTCCAAGCGCTTTAACACTACATGCCACATTCATCCATTCACACACACATACATACACTGGTGGCCGAGGCTAACACAGCCCTCAGGATCAATTTGGGGTTCAGTATCCTGCCCAAAGTTACTTTGACATATGAACTGGAGGAGCCAGGGATTGAATCACTGATCAGATGAATGGACGCCCTGCTCTAGCTCATGAGCCACAGCTGCCACAAAGTGCTACTTTATTGTGATTTTAAAGATAATTAAACTTGTACAAACAGGATTGGGAATATGTCATTGGTATTATATAATTGGATTACAAAAAATAAGTAACTATAATCAGCCCAGATTACTTCTGAAAACATGTGTGATTGGATTATAGTACCATTGCAAAGGATTGTTGTAGTATAAGGTGAAATATTTTCATTGTTTGATTTTTAAGTAATCCAAAAGTTTACTAATTACAAAAGTTGGCATGTAATTTGTATAAAGTAACTGACTACATTTGAAAGTAATCTGATACATGATATAAATGCTTATTGGGCTTCAGTGTATTAAGAACACATCTTTATTTATATATTTATGAAATATTCTTTGATTTTAAATGAAATTAAATTACAATCTAAATGTATTTTTTCTCATACACTCAAAGATATTTTTGATAATTCTCATTACAGCACAGTTTACACTTAAAATATTTAATTGTAATATAGAATCCATTAATTTAACCGTTTAAAACCTGAGCAATTTATTACTTTCAAGAACACAAGAAAAAGGCAACGAGCAACTTTTCAAGAAATGACCCAAAAATTAGCAAGAAATTAGTGAAAGTTACAAGAAAATTTCCAGAAAAATAGCAAAAAAACTTCTGTGACATAATTTTAAAAAATATAAATAGATTTTTCTGGGTGTTTTTTCTTTGATTTTTAAATCATTTTCTGATTACTTTCCCTCTCTCCTTTTTCAGGTTATTTTTCTTGTCGTATTTTACTATTTTCTTGAAATTTGCGGGACGCTTTTTTGCCAAGTTGCTCATTGCCTTTTTCTTGTATATTTTTGAAAATAATTAAAATAATTAACTCAAAGGTTTAATTAATCTTAATGTTAAACTGTGTTTTTTCGTTCTAATAATTATTATTAATCTATGATGTAGGTATACATGGACTTCCTGGACTTATTGGATCACAAGGTCAGTTTGTCCCTGTTGTCATTCACATAGAGCATCACAGTGGCTCCTGCTAAATCAAATATTATCTAAAATTTACCATCTGAGAATACTGTAAGCAGTGCCTTGAATTAACCCCTGGTGTTCTACATGAACTGTTATGTTGTAGGTCAACCAGGTGCTCAAGGTTTCCGTGGCGAACCTGGGCTTCCTGGACCTAAAGGTAGGTCACATGGTTATACTCAGTTGCTAAATACACTTAAATGCATAATTACTTCATATACTTTAATGATACTCACAGTCACTCTTCTCCCTCTGCAGGTGACAGAGGACTTGCTGGATTCCAAGGACCTAAAGGTTGGTTGTAACTACAACAGGTTTTTGTTCGATTTGTGGAGTCAGTGAATGTTTCTAACCCAAATGTCAGCGTTGGGCGCTGAAAAATCAAGAAAAGGGGAAGTTTCAAAAGCTGCAGTTCTTCAAATGGCCACTTGAGGCTGGCTCCAAAAGCGAGTCAATCCCCACTCATTGTTGGAACCCATCGGCTGTATTCTGCGTCTGACTTCCAGCAGACGGCGATACAGCCTCTGGGGGCAGACCCCCGATTTTTTGGCATTCCGGTTTGATTTGGGCTGAGGAGGCGAATTTCCGTTTCTGACTTTCGTTTATATATAAGTAAATATGCTGAACCTTTTCGATGGATTCAGAGTTTGCAGTGACGCCAGTTATGTTCCGCCTCGTTAGTTCACTGCACAGACCGTTTAACCTGGCAACAACTGCAGCCGGCTCAAATGTGATTGGTCAATATCATGCGGACTACAAACAGCTTACAACCGGAAACCAGGGCTCTTCCGCTCTTCTTCCGGAGGCAAGATCTCCAGGGTTTGCCTACAGACTCTACATTCGCTGAATGTAGAGTCTGTAGAGACTAGAGACTAATCCCCGCTAGTCTCCCGTACCAAATTACAGCTCTGTGTCAGCGGTAGGAGGAGATCTGGAAGCACCCATTATCGTTCTGGCACAGGGGAAAAAAACGCTCTGGGTAGTCTGTATTTCTCTAAATCAAGAGCTCCACCCTCTTGTCCAAATATGGTCACTTCTGGCTCCAAAAATCCAATATGGTGACGGCCACAAACCAGTGGGTGACATCATGGTAGTAACGTCCATTTTTAAATACAGACTATGTTTCTAACCATGTTATTGTTTATTTTAGGTGAAGCTGGTGACTCTGGTCTCAGAGGTCCCAAAGGTCAGTACAGCTTTGTGAATTATTTGAAGCTGTCAACTTGCCATGTTGTGTACTCTGTGCTGTTTCCTAATCCAGTTGCCCCTCTCCTCAGGTGATCCTGGTATACCAGGTCTGCAAGGGCCGGCTGGAGAGAGAGGAATGAAAGGATCAATGGGTGAGTCGCAGGACCTCCAGACCCAGATAACTATTTCATTCTCAGACACTCAGATTGTGGTATTGTGCTTCTTAACAGTTTGGGAAATAGGCTCATTCACTTTCTTCGATGAGAAGATCAATACCATTCATGTATTTTTCCATTGAATATGAAGCTACAGCCCGCAACCGGCTAGCTTAGCACAAAGACTGGACATAAAAGCTTTCTTTCCTTGCTCCATCCATGCACTAGGATCAGACAGCAAAACTAAATCTTGAGATCTCAGACTGTAGCTACAGGCAGAGCTCTGTTCAGTCAAAGTACAAATATTTGAAGGGAGTTTACCCAGTATTGCTTTATAAATGAACAAATACCAGTTACTGAGCCTATGAAAGGTCAAAGATGGCCAGCCAGCCCTGGAATAAAGCGTACAGTCATGAGTGAGGGCTTTGGAATTTGTGACAAATCTCAGTGCACTATGATATGCATTATCTAACGCGTGCAAACAATGTGCAGATGCATTCATGTACAACAAATCCCCACAATCCAGAAGCAGCAAGATTATCAACCTGAGGTTTAAAAGAAAGGGACTCATCGAGCCAAATACCAAGATATTAATAGGTGACAACTTCTAACTTCTTTCCCTGAGCAGTAAGAACATCAGGAGTGTTCACAGGCTCTTTCCTAGCATTTGAGAAAGGCATTACCTGAGTTTAATCAGCTTTTAAAATCAGATCTTAGCTTGTTATCTGAACATGTTACTGTTGATTTATGTAAAAATCAATAAACAACATGATCCAGCAGGGGGCAGCAGAGAGGAGTCTGCTCCTAAAGCCTCTCACTGTTCACTGAAGGAACAATAGACAATGGCTATTACACCAAAAGCTTGTTTTTAAGAGCGATTAATGGATTGTTTTTGGTTCTTTTTATGTCGTCAGGTCTGTCTGGAGTTGATGGAGCTAAAGGATCAAGAGGTAAAACACTCATAATTAAAGCATTACAGATACACCTGCTTAAATATTATTTTGATGTGCACAAGAATGTAAAAGTGGTGATTACAGAACTCAAGAATGTCAAACTAAAAACAAAGCTTTTCCTCCTCTTCTTGAACATTTAGTATTTCAGACACACATTGTTTCCAAAACTCCCCAAACAAGTCCTCAAATCAAAAGTTATATTTTTATTTTTTGGCCCTCAGGTGACACAGGACCTGCCGGGCCCCCTGGACTCAGAGGTCCTGCTGGGCCTCCAGGAGATTCACATCCAGGTAAACTGAGCCTCTGATGAAAATGTAGCTGTATTACCATCATTAGTTGATAATGTAATGAGATACATTCATATCTCTCCCTCTATAGCCGCACCTGGGCTTCCAGGACCTCCAGGTACAACTTGACTATTAATACAACACATATGACATTTGATTATTAATTCTGTGGCACTTTATTATGAATTACCTTAATTTATAAATGTACTTATGTCTTGCATCTTGCTTGTAGGGATACCAGGGAATCCAGGACGACCCGGCTCCAAAGGTACAGCTCCTTTGATGCCGTCTGCAGCGAAAAAAAAAGCATGTTTTACACATTACCGCCTGTTTTGTGCTGTTAATCTGTGTGTCTGACGCAGCATGTGTCTGTCTGTTTTAGGTGACACAGGTCCACCAGGAAGAATCATCAATGCAGGTAATAGATCATGACAAAACATATACTTAAAACATAATATTATACATTGTCTTAGAAGATGTCTTACCATCACTTTATTTATCCTCCAGCTGGCTCCACTGCTGTCGGCATCCCAGGACCACCTGGGCCTGCTGGTCCTCCCGGCCCTGCAGGACCTCCGGGATTATCAGGTCTGACATCGCACCCTTTGCATCCTGAGCCCTGAATGATCAAACTGTATCAGTAGTACCAGAGCTTGATGTTTCTTGTTTTAACTCCTCAGGTCCCATTGGCCCTGCTGGTCTGCCTGGCCAACCTGGTATGTTATTGTGTCTTTGCTCCTGAAGGAAGTTTTCCAGATCGTATGCGTTGCCCTCCGAGTCTCACAGATGCTGCATTTTTTTCTTCAGGTGCTAAAGGTGACAGAGGATTTAAGGGAGAGCAGGGAGATGCAGGAATATCATCAAGGGTGTCTGAGACTTTGAGCTCGAGTGAGTACTTTTTAAAATGGTTTTCTTGAAGACATATTGTTTAGAGGTGAGAAATAACTTCATCTTTAGAAAACAGCGAGGATTGTGTCACTTTTGAGAGAAACATAAATGGCGCAAACTTCATCTTACAAATGAAAACAACAATTTCCCCCCGGGGATCAATAAAGTACTTTGAGATGGTTTGGAATTAACAGAATTTTTTAGAAAATTTCTTAAGATAAATTGCTATGTTAGCATTTAGTGTTATCCTGTAATTACATCTTGTGGCCACAGTGGGCGCTATTTGGCAAAAGTAACAATGTAATTTTCTACACTTTAAGTCTGGTTCATCCCTCTCTACCAGGCCCCAAGAAAGTGCAATGGAATTTAAAGACAATTTGACATAGTGGCCAAACTGTGTAACTACAACTCACAGGTCCCCTCAACAAGACTTTTTTCCATAGACTCGCATTGTGAAAGAGACGTTTGTAAATCAGTGGATACATTCTTTTAACGTCACAACCCCCGAGAAATGACTCCTTTCACCATTGGGATTGATCATTTTGGTCTGATAACATTTAGAAGAGGCCACAGATTTTAGAGTTGCATAATTAAATCAATTGATCCCCATTCAAGGTAGTTGAGCGCTAAACTGGAAGTTAGCTGCTAGGCTGCGTAAGTCTCTAGTGAGCTGTATGAGCCCAATAACACAGAAGATCTGAGTCATTTTATACCTGGAAAGTTAAACTTTTTTGGCCACATGCACCAGTGAGCAACTTCCAAAGGAGTCCATGGGGCTCCACCTCCAACACTGGATCCAGTTCTCTTTATACATCCATGCTCTCTACAGATCAAAATAATGTTCATTGCTTAAAATCATTTGTTTCTGTTTCTGCTTCAGGGCAGTACAGTGGTAGTTCAAGTTCAGGACACTTTGGCCAACCCGGCCCACCTGGTCCACCAGGTCCACCTGGACGCCCAGGTAAATAAAACAACGCGCTCTGTTGCAGCGTTATCAAACACATCATCTGTAATGATTAAGTTGGATTTGTTTGACGCCATCGAAGAAGACCAGAGTTTTCTTGTGATATTCTTAAAACTGGGTCACTGACTGTTTCAAAAATGTTTCCATCAGGCGATTCAAGACAAGGACCTCCAGGACCACCCGGGCCTCCAGGTCAACCAGGTATTTAAGCTCTTTAAATCCACTGTTTCAAATATGGACTCTGCGTTGAGTGGTTCGTACGGTGTGTTTAGTGTTATGTGAAGATCATCCATTAATATATCAAACTCCAATCATCTTCTCTTTTAGGTTATGGAATTCAAGGACCTAAAGGAGACAGAGGAGAGTCAGGCTTTTCATCCAGCTCTGGTATGAGCCAAAATCTAAACATGTGCTCTGTCTTGATGTGGGTTTGTATTTAGCAGTAACAGAAACCATTTTAATGCTGCTCTCATTACAGGAACATATTACACTGGACCACCAGGACCACCAGGACCAGCTGGGCCTGCTGGGCCTAAAGGATCAACAGGTGATCAGATTTGTGACAACTTATAATGTCCCCTCTTTTAGTTTTAGTAATTCTGAATTCTAACGTAACATCTGTTGTTATTTTAGGTTCTCCTGGACCGAGAGGATACCAAGGTAATTGTCTTTCTTTAAGTAGACATACAATACAGGCGGTTGTGAGCCTCCCTTTGAACAAATCCTTGCCAGCATTAATAACTGTGATGTCATCATGTGTGTCTCAGGTGAAACAGGCCAGCCAGGTGTGCCAGGTGCCCCAGGTGCCCCAGGAAGACCAGGAACCTCTGAGAGAGGTCAACATCCAAACGCCTATCATACAAAATCACATTAGAGTTATATCACAGAGCCACAAAGGCGTAATGCACACGTGTGATGAACTGTATATCTATTTCTTCCTTACAGTGTCGAGTTACGGTGGAGTACAGGGGGTCCCTGGACCACCAGGTCCACCTGGACCTCCTGGACATCCCGGACAACAGGGACTTAAAGGTACCAACACATAGAAACATGTGGATGCTGTCAGTGTTTTATTGTCTGTATGCACCTGTGTATCACATGACATTAACGTTTTGTTGTTTATCATTTCTAAGGTGATCCCGGAGTTCCTGGTATTCCCGGCTCTTCAAGAGGTAGAGGAAAATTATAATTACATTTTACAGTAATATACAATGTCCAGTAATTTGTAACTAATTTGTAACTTGTAACTGTATCTAATTGTTCCTCAGGTGCCATCTCAGTCACTGCAGGCCCTCCTGGTCCTCCTGGTCCCCCCGGTCCTCCGGGCTCCTTCTCTTCTTCCATTGAGATGCGGCAGTACATCTCTGACTATCTGAGTAAGAGTTCTTCTGAAGCAAGATCTCACACTCACAGGCCATCAGGAGGACAGAACAAAGTATGAAGTATGAAAGTATGTTTTATTTCTTCCACGCAGGTAGAAGCAGACAGTCTAGTATCCCCGGACCTCCAGGTCCACCTGGGCCTCCAGGACTTCCCGGAACCTTCTCAGGCTCTATTGAGGACATCTCCGCTCGTATCATTGCATACCTGCAACGTAAGTCTGTGCTTCTCCACAGACTGTATATTACTCAGTGACAAGGAGTGTGTATGTACGCGGCATAGTGACAGCAGCCATTAACTCTGTTGTTCAATTTTAGGTTCGGGCTCAAGCCTCGGCATTGGTGTTCAGGGTCCTCCAGGACCACCTGGTCCACCTGGACCTGGCTCTGGATCTTTCACGGTTAGCGGTCTCATCGCCATGCTTCAGAGTGAGTATATTACAAATTTGGGCAGCGCCAAATGGCATCATCATCCCGCTCTCAACTGTCTTTATAATCTCTTCAGCATGATCTCATTTGATTGTGAAAACAAACAAGTTTGAGTTTGAGGGCTAAACTACATCTACATCTGCTGTGATCTGTCCAGGAGACGATGTGAGGAGATATTTGACAGGACCACAAGGACCACAAGGGCCACAAGGGCCACAAGGGCCACAAGGACCACCAGGAATACCAGGGGCTTCAGGAGGACTCTCAGGCACTTACAGTGTGGAGGAGATCGCCACGTATGTCTTCAAAATCATGAATGGTAAGCACAGGTTGCACTAACAGAGACTAGAGCCCTGGGAGTGATGTCTGGACTTGTCAACCAATCAAATTGCTGTTATTGTCATTTTCAGACAGAGGGATTGCTAGAGGTCCACCTGGGCCACCTGGTCCTGCTGGACCTGCTGGACCTGCTGTTTCAGGGGGCTCTGGCTACACTACCGCTACGATCGACTACTCTGCCTTGATGAGAAGTAAGTCACCGTGTTTTATACACAGAGCAAATTCTCCAAGAAGAGTAAAAACGTAGTCACTCATCATCCACCTTATATCTTTACCTACTTTAGATCCAGACTTCCGCTCATGGATTAGCTCTGCTGTACAGCACGGTCCTCCTGGTCCTCCTGGCGTCCCAGGGCAAGCTGGCCCTCCTGGTCCTCAGGGGCCACCGGGAGTCTCCACCGCCACTGTGATCGGGGCGGGAAGTCGCGACTACAGCTTTGAGGACATTCAGCGTTACCTGCAGGGTGAGTCTGACAGAGAGGATGAACATAATGTCCTGTATACACTGAGCAAGCCAACAACTTTAGCTTGGATTCACACATTAAGGTAATTTAACGATAATGTTACATATTTATCATCAGAGAAAACCATCAGGTTAAATATCACCTATTTAATTTTTAATAGCTTTAATTTAATTTTGATTTAATTTTAATCTATTCATAACTAAAGTTATGAATTATTGTATATTTTTATTTGTATATCATTTTAGCACCCTCAAGATAAATGAAAGCCTTAATTACACACAGAAGAGAGAGATTAATTATCGTCATAAGTGCCTCCCTGAGAGAACATTTACTGAAAACAGGATTAAACATTTAAAACGTACACAGCAGAACAAATCTGAATTTATTGTAAGCATCAACCAAAGGTGGTGTGCATGTATTTAAGCACTTCTAATCTGTTTGTTTTAAATCAACAGACTATGCTAGGCTAATTTATACAATTCAAAATGCCATAGGCTTGTGCTAATAACGTTAGCATGTTTCATTTGTCTATCAACATATAAGAGAGTTGTTTTGGCGGTAAACCTCGTTAGCTATAATGGAGAGGAATTTTGTAACGTTACCTTTGTTAAATGATGATGTTGTCCCTGGCTTCATATGAGTAGAGGAAAAGTCCGCTAGCCACTAGGCTAATTTATACAATGTAAAATGCCATATGCTTGTGCTAATAACATTAGCATGTTGTATTTGTGGGGAAAAAGTGTCCAGATAAAGACAAGTGTTTGTCTGTGAATACTGCGAGTTATAGTGAAGCTGATTTGTGTACTTGTGTTGGAAACTGTCTCTATTAAGCCGTGTTTAATGTGTGGTTTTGGGTGTATTTTAAATCAACTAAACTTTACAGCACTTCACAGACACCTTCTTAATTTTAATGGGTGTTTATTACGCCATATTTTTTAGTCTGCTATCAGTGGGTGGGGTCGCACAGTTTCTTCATCTTGCTGTGCACTTACAAACTAGAATGACAATGACATCAACTTGAATCTTTCCCAGGTTCTAACTTCAGAGGTCTCCCCGGCCCTCCTGGTCCTCAGGGACCACAGGGACCACAGGGACCACAGGGTCCACCAGGCAGTTACAGCGGAACAGTCTCCTACAGTGGAACCTTCCCTCGGGAGAGCATCCGCACTGAGATTCAACAGTATCTGACCAGTAAGCACCCAACATCCCTCACAGACAGATTGTAGTAGCACACAGATGAGTGCAGGCATCACTGATGATCTTTATCTCCCAGGTGACAGTGTTCGTCGTTCCATCATCGGACCTCCTGGGCCTCCTGGACAGAGGGGTCAGAAGGGAGATCGCGGAGAGCCGGGTTACGTCCAAAGCTACACACACAGCCAGAGCTATGCTCAGGGTGACTCTCGATACAGCTCTGATCGCAGAGATATTGATGTCAGCAGGCTTGCGGAGAATCTGGACTACTCCAGTGTCGCCATGAAAGTTACAGACTACATCAAGAGTGAGTCGATCACAGCCGACAAACATAGGTTGATAGTGATGATGAGTGTCATTTCAAGTCTCTGATATAACATCCCTCCTCTAGATCAAGGCCTGCTGCAGGGCTATCTGGTTGACGGTCCTGCAACGGCGCATGTCAGAGCGGTCCAAGGCCCCCCTGGTCCACCTGGCCCCATGGGACCACCTGGTCACAGCCGCGTCTTCAGTTCCTACGGGAACATCACAGCTGACCTCATGGATTTCTTCAGAAGTGAGGATACAGAGTTATGATTTTCCACAGTGACTGTACAGCTGTGGAAAACTATCCAGACTTATGTAAGTGTAGCTGGAAAATGTTGCTTCATCTCAACTAAATCTCTGCTTCTGCTCTTGCGCAGCCTATGGCACCATCGCCGGCCCGCCAGGAGGCCCTGGACCAAGGGGTGACAGAGGGTACCCAGGACCCAGAGGAGAGAAGGGTACGTTTAAACAGAGCAGATTAAACACTGCACATTCAGTGTGACTGAGACGAGCATGTCTGAGAGTTTCGCGTGTTTTCAGGTGATCCTGGACTCCCAGGTATACCAGGACTACCAGGGTCCTACACTGTCCAAATTCCACACAGAGTGCAGAAGAGGGATGCAGGTAACCTCAGTTGGATTCTGTTAAATCACACAACAATTATCCAGTGTTACATTCATGCTAACCGCATCTTTTCCATCCACAGAAGATAAGGTGGTTGGTCGTCGTCATCGCCGTCATGCCAGAGGTGGTTAAACATACTACTGGAGTTCATTTTTCCTCATCTTTTTTTTTAAAGGGTTAAACTGTAGAAATGCAAGAAGTCGAAATGCTCCTTATTCTTGCCATCTGTAGAAAAGTCACAGGACAATCTGAAATATTAAATAAAAGCGGCCAAAAAATGCAATAAGTCTTTTTACAACAGCTTCAGTAGAGGTTTGGTTTTAGCTGCTGGTCGGTGTCTTCGTCACACAGACTGCATTATTTTTTAACATGTGGGTGTATAATGTTTACTTTGCTTAGTTAGACGCTTGCATCTAAACCTTTTTTTTCCAGGGGCAGCTTTGTTTAAAGGGTGACTTTGGTATTTTTTAACCTGGACCCTATTTCCCTGTTTTTTTGTGTGTGTCTAAGAGACTAATGGGAACAGCAGTTTTGAAGTTGGTCCAGTGTTGAGTTAAAGCGCTGAATCCCATGGCAGCAAAACAGGCTGCAATGTAACCACATGGGGCAATTGTGCACCGTCACTTTATGTCCCCTTTAAGTGCTTGTTTTTGCCACTGACAGGCTCAGACTGTTATTAAAAGCATCTGGCAACATTATGGAAAGGATCCTCACAGCGATAGACCTCTGTTTAACCAGAAACAGCCCTGAAATCACAATTACCAAACCTACCAAAAACAGAAATTTAAGCTGGTACAGATTTCAGGGCTGTTTCTGGTCAAACAAAAATGATCTTCCTCTTTGACAAAAAGCTCTATTTCTGTAGGGATCCTTTCCATAATGTTTAAGACACTTTGAATTATAATCTGAGCCTGTCAGTGACAAAAACAAGCACTTTTAGTTGACGTAAATTGACGGTGCACAATTGCCCCAAGTGGTTACTTCGCAGCCTGTTTTGTAGCTGCCTGCTGCAGCGCTTTCTCTCAATACTGGACCAGCTTTAAAATTGTTCCCATTAGTCACTTACACACAAAAACGTGGGAAAATAGGGTCCAGGTTGAAAAATACCGGAGTTCCCCTTTAAGAGAATATCTATTTTTAAGCAATAAGTGGCTGATACTCTAATAGCACTTTGCATCTTTTCCCACTGCTTGTGTAACTTGAGTGTCTGGTGTATTTTTTTTGTACTTGTTGTCTTTTAAGGATTATGTTGTATTGAGGATTATATGTGTTACATGTTGTGTCAAGGAACCCTTCATTGTGTCAGAAAATACCACAATATTGTCAGATTATACATAGAAATCAAGCCAGCCTTTAAGACCTTCAGGACCTCGGACATCATCCATTCACCCCATACAAATTTCATTTTTAAATATATATAAAGCAATGCATCATTACCAGTCAGAGTGATGGTCATTTGTGCAGCAGGGAGGGGACTTTGGTTACAGAAGTGTCGCTGTTGTCAGGACTGATGATTTACTTGAAAGATTTGATGGTGAAAAAGGAAATAAATAAATGTTTGCATGGTTGAAGGGCAGATAATCACTAAGGAATGACTGATTGGATTGTATATTTTTTGTATGAGAGCCCACTGAAATGGATATATTCTTTATACCTTGAAGTGTTGGAAAGATTAAATTATATCAACTGTTCCCACATGATGTTTTACATGATTGAACTTATTGACATTTGATCAATATATTTGAAAGACACACAAATAAATATATTTTTGGACTTGGGAGTCTTGATATTTGTATGACTAAATTTTAAACTTTTTTTAAGACACTTAAAATATCAAATAAACAGTCAATATTTTATTTACAACAACAAAAAAAGTCAATTTATAAAGACACTTTAAATACATTTGATCTGACATCAAAATAATATTCATCGTGGTACAACTTATCGAAATGCTGTAACTTAACAAAATAAAAAAAATATTTGAAATCTATGGGGCGTGTGGTGTAACGCACAGTATGCAGTCTCCAATGACCCCGACAAAAACCCAGCATTCATGACAAAAAAGGAGTCGATGTTAATGTCAGCATACGGAAATTAAAACATGCACCGATGATATGCAAAATAAACTAACCAGGAAATCTCTTTTTGAAAACCATCAATACTTTTGTTCCTAAAATACAGCGAAGGACGTCTCCTCATACAGATACTTCCACCTTTCACACAACACTGGTTTCAACAAGAGCCGACAGCTCACAGAAAAGAGCGATTACAGTATCGATATATCAGGAATACATGTTTAGAAAACTAGATGTGGTCTTAAAATACTAAAGGGCATATTTGAAAAAAAAAGTAAAATTATAAGTAAAAATAAAAGTTCAATTCAGTCAGTTTGGAGTTTGAATAGGCTTGGGTGAGACGAAGGTGACTCGCTGTCAAAAAAGACTACTGCATATTTTTTTCTTTAGCTCATGTGGCAAAACAGTGCAAATCAACAGCTTTACATTCCTTTAGTTTTCATTTCAAGGTGATTTATTTCTATATATATGTCTATATATATTAAAAAAGAACATATTTAACCATTCTCCGGGAAGCAACAGGTCACCTCTGTGTTTAACTAAGCAGGAGTAAAGCACTGAAATGAAATTATGTGCCAAAGCAGTAAGATATATTCTTGTTCCCAAGGTTTTAAAATCCTCATGGCAAGCACAGACAGTATCTGATTAAACTTCATACGTAGGTACACACATGTAACATTTCACTCAGCGCATCATTTACAACACAGTACATTCCTTTTAATTTTATGATCCCAACATGGCTGACGTTAGACCACACAGCCGAGACAAAGTCTTACAACTACATCAGCACGTATCTCCCTTGAACCAGCTCTACCGTCCATGCAGCAACTCGAAATCTCAGAGTTGTCTTAGTCGCCAGTTTATGTGAAATGATTTAAAATAATCTCCCAACATCTTGTGATTGCAGGTGGAAATGATAGCCAGGTATTTAAGTGCAAGACATTCGCTGTATTTACTGTAAAACACAGGGAAGGGGCCTAAATGCAAAAAGAAAATGAGGCACTGGAGATCATTCGTACTGTAGCAGGCTGTGCTTACACTAATCTGATAAGCATGATTGGCCTTCGCTACTGACTGCAGGCTTTTAAAATTTGAACATGCTCAAAAAAGTGCATATTTATTATTGTTGGATTACCCAACAAGCTGAGGAAAAATTTGATCAAGTGAGGGAGCGGTGTGTAGGCACGTCATGCTCACTATAGGTGGAATCAAAGCAGTGGTTTTTTAATATTTTTATCAGTAGCGGTCGGAGAAATGATGTCACTCCACCAAGAAGAGTCTGTGAGCGCAGCCGAGTTTGAGTCTGTTTTGTAGCACGGACAGACACGAGGCTATAAACCAGAGTTGTGCAGGTTTGGGATGGGGTAGAATTTGGATACTCGACTCTGGGTGGTGGGGTTAAGGCATTCGGATTCGCCGCTCATCTTGAAGAAGACCTCCTGCTCCTGCAGCTTCCGTGTGAACTCCTCCTCTAGCGCCTGCAGGGGGCAGCAGATACAAACATCTGAGTCAAACACTGAGGGTTATATCACCAAAAAAACAAAGACATTCATCCTCCTGACTGTAGAGGAAATCTGTGTGATCAAATGGACATCAAATATACCTTCTTCCTGGGTCTCAGCTTCTCTCTCCACTCCTTTATCTCCTGGCTGTGCTCCTCGTCCAGCTCCTTCAGCTTTTGGGTCTCATGTTCAATCAGAAGGTGGCATTTCTCATTCTGAGAGAAAAAGGTGTGTTAACGTGGCGTCAGGATTAATGTGCTCTATTATTAATGAATAACACCTCCTGTACTCTGCTTAATTTATCTGCACTGGAATATTCTGTCTCTCTGCTTTTATTAATTCAATTTACAGTTTTTTTTACAGCACAGTTATCTGAGATGAAAATCATTTCCTGTTATGATCGGGGTATTAAAGCTTGTGCTCCATACTTGCCAAGCCTCTTGGATTTTCCTGGGAGGCACCCGTTTTTCACCACCCTATCCTGGTTTCCTCCCAGGGTCACTATTCTCCTGTATGTCTCCTGATTTATGACAAATTTTCCCATCTGTTTTTCCCTTTTGGTTATCACTACCTCATTCTGTTTTCACCCAGAAAACAATACAGCTACATTAAATGTTGTTTCCTGGCATGTGACCTGAAAAAGAGCTTCTAGTGCCTCGTGCTTGAGGAAATGGAGAGTTCTGAAAGAATGAAACACTCAAGCAAATCTCATGTCCTGGAAAGAAGAGAAAGAATCCCCATTTCTTCCAGAAAGTTTTAAATGAAAGGGACATGCCCTTTTGTAAAAACTGCTGCACAGATTTTTCCGTTGGACGCTTGGTGCAGTTAATCAATCAATGAATGAATGCCGGAGATTCATAGCCTGGTAAGACCATCCTGATGATGTGAGCTCAAAATTCTGTTTTGCTCTCTGTAACAGTCTGGCCCCGCTACTGCCACAAACACTTTCCAGAACTAAAATCCAAACAGGGCCAATCAGAGACTGTGTTGTAGCTGATGATGCAAAATGCAGGCTGCAAAATGCAGGCTGCACATTGCAGAACAGTAATGGTGGCTCCCGCTGCCCCATAGAGTTAACACAACAGTAAGTTAAGTTATTGCAGAAGTAGAGTCAATGACAACAATAACACAAGAACAAGAGGGTGCAGAGCATGTTCCCTGGTGTTTTGTTCTACTGATTGGCTGAAGGAGGTTGTCTGTCAGGGTGAGTGTTCGCGCCCACTGACAGTGTTTAGGGTGGCAGCGAGTCCAGACTGATGGAGAGAGCAAACAATGTTGAGCTCACGTGATCAGGATGGTCTTACCAGGCTAAGATTCATAGAGGAGGGGTGAATTATTCTGTATTCTTTCCTGAGAATTAAAAGTAAACTTGAAAGCATTTAACATAAAAATACTGTTGCAGTGTTTTGTTATTTTCATTCTTTAAAAGTCACCAGAATGAAGGAAACAAGCTCCACCGCTTTGGTTTCAAAATCCCTCCTATTTTTGAGGTCTAAAGGTTGGCAAGTATGTTGAGCTCATGGATGACAAAGCTCAGCTCGGTGATTAAAATCTGGCCTGAAAGACATAAAAAACTGTGTGTGTGCTGACCTGTAGCTGCTGCAGCTCCCTGATGTTTGAGTCACACTGCAGCTGCAGATCTCTCATCTGGTTCTCGTGTTTCTGGTGTTGATGGAGCCTCTCATTCTTCTGCCTCTTGTCTTCCTGTACGGCAAACTGGACCACGCAGACAAAGTACAACAGAACTGTGACGGCAACTCAAACCCAAGCAAAGCTATGACGGGATTTGTCTTTAATCGCAGACAGGTTGGCGTTCTGCTCGTGCTACAGGCAGTGTGAGCACATGCAGCCAGAGAGTGGTGATTGTAAGGAACTCGGCCATGGAGCGGCCAATTTCAGATACATACACTGATTGCAATGACAAAATAGTACAGTAATAGACTACTTTTTATCATCTACTTCTTGCTGCTGAGAATGTTTAAGACGTTAAAGAGTTCTTTCACTGGTCTCATCTGAACAAAACTAAACTGAAACAGCACTTTGAGGAGGCAGTTCGGGTTGTGTAATGGTGACTGGAAAGTTGCTGGTCTGAGGTCCAGACAGGCTGAGATAATTAAAAGTGCTTGCACTGGGCAGATCCTTGAAGTGACTCTATGCCAGTGTGACATAGTGCTGCTAAAAAAAGACCATGCATGTTCAGTCACTTCTGCTTACATTGTAAAACAACAGCAGCAGCATGAATCTACTGTGTGTGTTACCTGTTTTATCCGCTCCCTCTCCTGCTCAGGTGTGACAGCCGCCGTGGCGGTGATGCGGAGGCTCTTCTTGTACATGGCCATGCGTGTTTTGGCCTCACTGCGCTGAATCTTAGGCAGACGAACCCTCTCTTGAGTCTGTTTGTTCTTCATCTCCTCTATCAGCCGCTGGTTGTAGCGCTGCATCTGCTCCATTTCCTGTAAAAACACACGCATGCGCACAGTTTTGAGTTCAGCAGCGTTATTTAAAACAAAACATTTTTATGAGTGGTAGAGTTTTTCTCCAAGCTCTTACTTTCTCGTGCCTCTTCAGTAGCTGGTGTCTCTGCAGGAAGTACTGGTCCTTTAGCTGCTGCTTCAGCTGCTGGTGCTTCTCCTGCAGGTGGCGCTCCTCCAGCTCCCACATGGCTGCCTCTCGAGCTGCAAAACACATATGTGCACACACAAAATCATGACGTCACCTTAGTTAGCAGACATGTACATGCATGTTAGCTGGTGATGAGGGAAGTGACGGAAACACAACAGACAGAAACTCTCAGCAAGTTGGACAAGTTAAAACATGTCTGCGTGTCGCAGTCAGTATTACACACTGTTGTGTCACCGGCATAAAATCCTTTTACAAGTTGAGACTGAAAAAAATATCTACTTTTTTTTTTACCTTTAGGGCTGTTGTTGATGTCACGTCTGTCTGTTATGAAACTTTAAAGCTGCACAGCATGTTAGAGCTTAGTTGTTTGCTCGAGAGTCAATCTGTCACATCATGGTTGTCAAATTTAATGGCAACATAGTTTAAGTGTGGATTGATACCAAAGGTCTGCTGATGTGGTGCCTCCAGATGTGTTGTGAGGAAATCAGAAGCAGAAGCTTTCGTTGGACGATATTTTGTCACAGAAATAATGTGACAAACAATAATATTGTCATTTTGAGGCCATTTTATGCCACTGATATAATGATAATATAGTAGCATAATACTGCAAGTACACCCGTTCAAACAGCAAAGAACCTTTAATTTATTGAAGAATATTCAGACATTGAAACTGGAATATAAAAAAGTAATTAACACATAATATAAAAGTATATATAAATTTATAGTATCTTTATACGAGAAGCCCCAAAATTACTCAAGTTTCAGTTTATCTCTTGTGTTTAATAGACAAGTAGGCAAGTAGACTTGTGCAAGTAGGCCAGGGGCTCCCCGACCCCAGGCTTCAAACCACATCCGAGTTCAAACCAGGAACCCTCTTGTTGTGAGGTGACAATGCTAACCACTGTACCACCATGCCACCTGATTCTGGCATCATGCTGGCTAAAATACTGTTGACAATCTTATGCATATGTACATGCATGTAAACAGAATAGGCAATATCAGGGTCAGCAAAATATCTGAGGTCATATCTATATGTTGTATGATAAGCTGGTAACATAATTATCGTGACAGGCCCTGTTTCTCACTTAAACGTGAACACACCACAACAGCATGCTTCAAATCGATCCATGCCTTCACCAGCTTTACTGTGCGACGACAAAAACACTTATAAAAATAAAGACAGGGTGATATTCTTGTAGGAGCCAGAATGTGTATTTAAATGGTGTTTATTATTTGTTGAGGCCGCACATGTTCTTGTGGTCACTTTCACTCCCAGTAGTAACTGGCACAGGGGTGGGTGTGGTTTCACCTCATTTTACCTGTTTATTCACTGACGTGGCAGCTTTTAGACGAAGAGGGTGAGTTTTTGGCTCCGATATTTTCTGTTGACCGCAATCACATCACGTAATATTTTGTTTCATCTCATTTTGCTTTATTTATCTCGGTTGTTTGTTTAATAAATCATCATAAAACGCATCTTTGGACTTCGGCATGGATTTCTTTTAACGAGTCACAGTTGAGAGCCGAATCAGGCTCTTACTGACTTTTATCATTGATAGTAGTCGCCACAATTCCCATGAGTGAGTGCATGTCTTGAGTTTCAAGTGTCTACTTTGAATGTAGGTAATGAACATTCAGAAATCTAAACGGCTATGGTAGAGCCGTAATGTACAGAGGTCTGATGATTTAATGTAATCCCATCTCCTACCTCTCATCAGCTGCTGCTTGTGGTTCAGGCAGTCTCTCTCAATAGTGGCAATCTCCACTTTATGCTGCTGGATGATTTTCTTCAGAGCTCCGTCCAGCTCTTGCTGCTGCTTCTGTAGGAACTCCTGCTCCTGAGGAGCCAGAGATAAAGAGCAGCAGTGAGAGGAGGCCAAGGGGATCACACAGAGGGACGGCAGACAGCAAGAGAGAAAGGGCACAAGACAATGCATCAAAACTGCAGTAAATTAAACGCTACAATCTAGTCAAGTCATCAAGTTCAAGTTCAGAACAACACAGAGCACTAAGATGTCACATCATCAACTGCAATCAGCAGAGGAGACACTCAGAGATCATGGATGGCAACGATCCACAATGGAGGTGAAGAGAGAAAGAGAGAAAAGTTAACAGTTCAGTAAAGATTCACAGTTTTATGTGAGACAACATCGAAATTGACGTTCACACCGTCCAGAGCTCAGCCTACATTATGCATGACTCATTACACAATGAGCCAGAATTATCTATTATTTAATTATCTTTTATGCCTAAACTCATAATTTAAAATTGACATTTTGTCTGCCTAGCTGGTGGCTAATTGTAGGTTAGATATACGATTATTACCTCGCTATAATTAGGCATAATTGATCATATAACTACAAAGAATTCACTGTTGAAAACCTACAACAGGTAACATTGTTGTCACACTGCTGAATCCAAATTAAAATGGTAAAAGTACTATAGAATAATGCACAATACAAGTGACTTTTACATCCACCCTGTAAGGCAGTCGGTCTATATTTGGCCCTCGTCTGACAGAGACAAACATGGATCCAGACAGAAGGGGATCAACAACAACACCACCTCTGGGACACAGCACTGTTTACTCCCAGACTCAATGTAGTGGTGTAATACAATATAAATACCATAGAAAATACACAGACCGGATGTTGGACATTTGTGGAGTGGTGGAGGAGAAATACGGAGCAGGAGAGGAACAGAGAACCACTGCACAAACACAGCGATGACAACACTCAAAAAAACAAAACCAAAATAAATTTTAAAAAAAAACACCGCCCATGCTTACATGTGTCTTAAAGTAAAACTGAACCATCACAGACTATCCTGCCACTTCGCACATCTAAGTATGGGCCAGAAGATGGAGAGAAACAGGGGGGATGGGGGGGGGACTTACATCCTGCATCTGAGCGTTGAAGAGTGCGCATGAGGACAACTGAAAAGACTGTATCATAACCTGGGCCACTGCCTGCGGAGGAGAGCACACAGCGCACTCGTCCTGATGATCAGGGACAGACAGCACACACAGCAGGCTGAGGATCTTTTTCTCTCTCACACAAACACACACACACCAGCACACACTCTGATTCTTCCTGAATTATGTAAGAGATTTTCCACTTTGGGAATATGGGTGAGTTTAAGGCGCACAGCACAGTTCTGGATAAATGTTAGGAGGAAGTCATTTAATTAGTTATTTAATACTCTTCTCGTCCTCTCATGCTTGAAAAGCAGCACTTGAGTTTAATCCAGCATGGTGGAGAAAAAAAGCAGTTTTGTTACTTTCCATGCTACCGGCTCACGCAGTGTTAATAATCTACAAGTTACCTTTCAAAGAAAACAAGACATGACTCTTGTCTAATTTATAAAAGATGCACAGGAAAACAAAGTTTGAAAAAGGTTTTCAGTACAGATGTCTACTGTGGAGACAAAAGCTGTGTCTGTAATCGCTCCCGCGTTCATTAATTCACTACATGATGAACCATTAAAGGACACTGTGGTAAGTATTCAGAGCAGATACTTACTAATCATGATCATCATAATCATTCTGCATCACCACTGATGTGTGTCGTGACATAAGGAGAAGGATGCACTGAGGGATGTTTAGTAGTGCTAGCACACATGCTATGGATTGAAGCTTTGATTCTCTGCTCGAACCTGAACCTGACGTTTCTTTCCAATCTTGCTCTGTCTCTCTGTTTACCTGCCCACACTTGTATTGTTAGTGTAATTTATTTACCAAAAAAGAGACAAAGCACACAATAAACAAAGACAGATATGAATTTGACAAATAGCATTATTATTAATTCAAGACAGAATATTTTTTGTTCCACTGTGGGCATTTTTTAAAGAAGTCTATCATAGTATATATCATTTTGTTGGGGCTGCAACCAACAATTATTTTCATTATCAACAATTTATTTGGTCTACAAAATGTTGGCAAGTAATAAAAAATGCCCACTGTGATTTCTGAACAGTTTAAAACCCAAAGGTATGTATTTTACCATCAAAGTAGACGAAGAAAAACAGCAAATATTTACATTTAAGAAAGTCAGAACTCTGTACTGTATAAAAATTAAGGATGTAGCCACCGTTATGTCACCCATAGGTTTGTGGACTCCTGTTTTAAAGCCTTGAGTTTGGCATTTTGGCCATCGCCACCTTCTGGGAGCCAGAAGTGACACAAGGTGACCATGGAGGGTGGAGCTGTGGTGAAGTAACGGGAGGATCTGACTCATAGACTGACTTAAACAGGAGAGTTATATAAAAATTCACCCCTGTACAGTTGTCCTGAACGTTAAAATTAGTGTTAGAGGCCAAAACCATTTATTTTTGGCTGTAGACGTGTTTATTTCTGCTGTAACTTTGGGAATTTTGACATGAGTGTCTATGGGGATCGACTCAGCTTTTGCGGCAAACTGAAGCACCATTTGAGGAACTGCAATTTTTGGCACTTCCACATCAGCTTGATATTTTGGCCCTGGAGGTTGCCACTTGCTCAGAACATGAGAATCTATGTAACTTTAACAGATTCAGGCATTTAATCTCATTTATGTAACGATTTTGTGAATCTAATATAATCAGAAGACAGTACTGCTCACTTTAAATAGGATGGTTAAACATTTGACGGTTGACAGATTTATATTTCTACAGTCCCACGATATAGAGCGATTATAGACACAGCAATTCTCTGTGTGCATGTGAATACTTTACATTTATGAATCAGGTTAAAGGGAGAGAGGGAAGAAAAGAAAGAGAGAGAAATTTTACTCCTTCACAGAGTAAGAGACAGCAGGTGATGGTTTACCTCTGCGGTCTTAAGGAGCGATAGGTCCTCCTTTATGCGTTTCATGAGCTCTTTTCTCATATGTTTGGGTGACTGTCCAACTTCCTGTTTGGCCTACAGTGTGTGCAGAAACTGGTTGATGCTGTGTACTCTGAAAATCTAACAAAGCTGGCCAACAACAGTACAAGACATGCACGGCCCACTTTGAGAGGAGAGATTCGGCACCCAGCCACCAACTGGTTTAAAGTCAGCATGCTTTGATTCCCATGACCTGCGTCTGGTGTTCCTTTGAACTAGGCAGTCAGTCTCTTTTGATTAGTAGCACGTCAGAGCTGTAAGTTTAAACTGCACGAGTAAGAGTCATGAGTTTGTGGAAAGAAAGATTTGACTGGTACATGGCAGAGGATGTTAGTCTCAAAATAAAGCTCCCCCTATATTACTTTGCATTCAATTAAGTCCCACAGCCATCAAGATGATTAATCTGCCTCCAGAAATTAAAAGAGAGTAACTGAGTTGGAATCATCTGGAGACTATGACCTCTGAATGTTAACAGCCCTGACATGTGGACTACTCAAAAGCTCTCAGTTTTTTTTTATAAGTGAATTCAGATTAGACTGCAGCGATGTATCACACCAAACAAAATAATTCATGTTTAGTTGGGTTCTACCGTCTTTAAAAGAATGCTGATACCTGCACCTAAGAAACCAAACATTGTTGTGGAGCTATTTGTTTCTTAAAGGCTACAGGCTCACTGCTCTGACTTTGATGATAATGAAAAACTGGTTAAATGGAAAATTCTATGTTTTGGTCATGTCTAAGTGATTTATGGTGACAACAGTTTTTGAAAGTGGTTCAGTATTGAGCAAGAGAGCTGCAGCCAGTAGCTATGAACAGGACTGCGGTGTAATCCTTGGGGGCAATAGAGCGCTGTCAGTGTGCGTCCAGGAAAATTGCTTGGTTTTGCCACTGCTAGTGTCTAACAACATTATGGAAAGGATCCCTAGAGAGAAATAAAAAAACGATTGTGTCCAACCAAGTCTTGCTCAAGGAGACGTCTCTTTCTGAGGTCTTGGGAGTTCAGTTGTTGCGGGAAGACAGTAAGGAACAGACCAGATCGAGCCAAAGGTAAAAAAAAAAAAAAAAAACATTTTCTCTCTCTCTCTGCAGGGATCCTTACATTCATGTTGTCAGACAATTATAATTACATTCTGAGCCTGTCAGTGGCTAAACCAAGCACTTTCAGTGGACGTATGTTGAGTTGAGGTGCAGTATGAGCATTATATTGCAGCCCGTTTCACAGCTGCAGGCTCAATAAACCCAAAAACACAGGATTATATGGTCCAGGCTGAAAAATATCACAGTTTTTCTTTAAAACCTTCATATGTGATACCTCACCTGATGCCCTTAACCTCCTCAGTGTGCTCATCGACTGAATAGATGTGTGGCTGATGCGGTTTCTTTTGTCCTGTGCTCTGCTGAAGGTATTTTTACCCTCAAGATGTTCTAAGACAGATTGCTGTTCATAGACTCAGCATGTAACATGACTGCACCAGAGAATCTGGTGGCTTAACTCAACCAGCTCGGTCTGTGTGATGTAATCTGTGTGTGGGAGCACAAGGCCACAAACAGTGAGAGTGGGAAATGACTCTCACTGAGCACAGGTGGGCCACAGGGTTTATGTCTCAGTCCACTGCTTCTTTTTCAGCCGCTAATGTGTTTTCTGCTCTATTTATTCAAGTCTACGTCTTTCTTTTGTATGTGATGTTTATACTTTAACACTGTGTAACTCTGTGTGATAGTGACTGTATACTATGTAAACTCTGAACATGTTGATAGGAGAGCAGCAGGGGAAGTTTTTCATTGTATGGAAATGAACTGGTGACATTTTGCAATACTCTGTTTTAACTGCCAAACTGTACAATATGCAGTACTGACTTGAGGCCCTCTACAATATTGTGCAATGATAACTCACATGTGCAATACACTGTTATTTCATTCCATTCTTACCTATTCTGCTCTTGCATGTATAGTTATCACACTTGTAGAACGATGCACATATTTGTACATATCTCTTCTTCTTGTTTCCCTTACATTTTTCTTACATTTATATGTATATATTATGCCACAGATTTTAGCACTATATGCACATTTTTTCTTGTATATCTTTTATTTCTATTTTGTTTAATAATTTGTCTAGAAACAAAATAAGAACAACTCCAACGCCCTCCCAGGGATCAATAAAGCATTTTGAATCTGAATTTTGATGCATATGACAAAGAAAGTATTGAATATGCACCTTTAAGATGATTCCATATCAGTTACTCTGATGCAAGGCTATTATTGTATCCCCAAATGAGCCCAACACCACCAGGAAAATCTTCAAAAGTCGGCCATCCCATGACCAAGCCACCTCACACACTCATACAAGAGACATGGTTAGTTAAAAACACAACAACAGTACATTTTGAACAATGAATACAACATTACCAATTACAAAAAGTACAAGAAAACATCACATTTTATCAATTGCTTATATTTTTGCAGCTAAACAACCACAACAAAGTACACAGCTGAGGGCTGAAGCGACCACTTTAAGCCAACCTACAATAATATTTTTAGGCACAATATAAATATACTCTAAGTGGCCCAGAAAGCAAATTGCGGAGCAGCACGACCACCACCAGGCATCATAAATACTCAATGGATGCCAATCGGCACTATTGCCATGAAAAAGCTGCATAAAGCACAACACAAAGACTGCAAGCACACCCAAAAAACATCTTCCAAAGCATTTAAGGCTGCAAAGCAGAGAAAGAGGCAGAAAAGACTACTAAAAACCTAACATTTATTTATAACAAACCCAGCACCACCATGATAAGGTTTTATGCTTAGCCTAAGACTGAACTTTTAATAAACAGCTCCCTAAAAATAACAAATAGACTCAGTAGCACTGTTTAGGAGGCAACCAGGAGCCTCGGGGCAGATGAATAATGGATAGAACAACATGGAGCTAGCAGCATCTAGGAGAAATACAGCAGAGTCTGTCTGTTGCTATCATTTGCACACATACAGTACTACAACAGCAAGGCACACCACTCCCATAGGATTAATATGACACAGCCAAGTACGCCACCGGCTAAGTTGTTAAACACATGCACCATTAAAGGGGTCGAATCTATGACATGCAAACCCTTGCGACCTCCCAGTTAGGAGCTAATCAGCCCATAGACACAGCCATGCACCACTGTACCTCTTTCTTTCGGTTCTTCAGCATGTTTTGGAACTTGGAGAGTTCCTTGTCTTGATCCGCTTTGATGCGTTTGGCTTCGTCTCGGAGCCGGCTGGTGTGATCCTGTTCCAGTCGCTCAATGGTCTGCTTCTGCTTCTTCTCAAGGTTCTCCACTTCTTGGTCATACTGACGCTTTTTAGCCTGCATGGACAGAAACAACAGACATGGCAACAACTTTACATGATGGCAGTAAGTGTTTATATGTGCTCTAACATCCTAAGATTACAGACTGAATTACTGCTAAGGAGGGAGGTGGAACTGACTGCAAAGGACATCTGTGTGGTGTCATTTCAACCTGGCTACAAGACAGTGTGACAAAATCAAATTAAAGTTCCTAAGATTGTGCCCATCACTGATCACAGGAGAAATGCTAATTGAGGAAATGCTTAGTGATGTCTGGCTATCGCCTGCATGTAAGTCCCTCCTTCAGATTGAGATCTTCTTTGAGGCGAAGCAGCTCGTTTCCTAGGAGTTGGCAAAATAAAAAAAAAAACCATCACACCACTGCGGTATGAACAAACTGACTCACAGTAGTTTCCTGTTCAAAGCGCCGGTAGATCTGCTCTCTCTGCTGCTGCAGCTTGTTGCTCAGCTGCTGCTGGGCCCTCTGCTCCTCTTTCTGCAGGAGGCGCAGCTCTCTCAACTCCTGCCGCCTGAGGAAACCACACAGACAGTGTAATAGGTCACCACATTTAGTCATTCAAATTTAATAGCTTGTCATTGATGATATTAGGGCTGCACAATATATTGTTTTTATTTTCAATCTATATATTTCAATCTGTGTGACAAACACATAGCAAAAGACTCTTTAAAGTTATGCCTGCCATACACTAGAGGACTTTAAAAAATACTTTTAAAAGACTAAAGTATAACAGCCTTTCACATCTAAAAACTAGAGATTTTGCAGACTGGAGATCTTGCAGGGTCACCATTTGGAAAACCAGATTCCTTTTAAGATTATTTCTCATCATGCTACTGGTGGAAAATTTCACACCAAACTCCCTTTAAGAAACACAACATATTAACAATTAATTAAGTGTCTGCAAAAACACATAACTTTCAAAACAGATAAAACGTGTCATATGGTGACAATATTCTTGTCAATTCAGCAACAGTATAGTCCATAAATAAACTGTATCTGCTTGCAAACTTTACATTTTGGAGTTTGTTGCCTCAACATGCTACCAGCCTCTGTTTGTCAGCTGCACTATTTCAGGAGAAATTGGGAACTGTTTCAAAAATTAACATTTGTCACTAAAATAAGTGCCGAAAGCTTCGCCTCCTTTTCAACAATACAACAGACCCGAGACTTGTTCACATTGTTGTGCCTCCCCAGGGTCCCCTCCATGTTTACTCTCTACCCGGTTTGTTGTTTCCTGCTGTTGTTTAATGCACAGAGAGCGCAGCTATTGGTTGTTGGCGATGTTTACTTCACTGAACTTAACTACTCGCATGAGCCAAGACCAAAAACTTCTGATAACATCACACAGTCTTGATTTCTCCAGAATGTCAAGACAAGACGAAGACTGACTTATGACAGCTCGGACTGAGTTTTATGATCACCTTACACCAAATGATTGAGATCACAGGAGAGCGCTGCAACTGAGGTGAAACTCATGATTTTAATCTGACATTGGAAATTTGTCTGCAACGGTGGAATCACTTGAAAGTTTTTTGGTGTACGGCTGGCATTAGTTGAAAGAAGGTGTCGTAGAAAACAGCACTATAAAATGTAAGGGGCCGTACACTTGCTGCGTGTTCCCAAGCGCCTATTTTTTAGGGCGCAACAGCTGCGCTCTAAACTAAACGGAGTTCAACTTTTGGAATGCAGCAGCACACAACGCACGTCATGTGACGAGGAACAACCTATCACAGCCAACATATATCTTTCCCTTCTTCCGTGAATATTCTGTCTGTGGTAAATTCTGAAAAGTTGATTTTGGTGAGGAGCTGTCGGACCTTCTCATCTGTTCCATGGACAATATGCCCACATACATAAACAGTGCCTGGAGGAAGATCAGCTCTGCACTCAGGATTTGAGGTAAATAAGCTATGATATGGTGACTGTTAAGGTTGCTTAGCAACCTCAGGCGCAACCTGCCGCCGCATTCGCGAAAGCTGGCACAAAAAAGGCACAAAAGTAGTGCCCAGCGTCAGACCTCACGTTTTCCAGGCAGTTAAAGACGCAGCGTGTACCGCCCGTAAATCATTCTTTTTTAATTGGTGCCTGTTGTGTTCAGTTCAGTTTTTCAAATAAAGATTGTTGGAAATAATTTCCTTTAATTTTGTAAGTTAACAAGCACTTTTTAAAATTCAAGCAATACACTGTGGAAGAACTGAGTACATGTCGATATCTGTTTATCACAAGTAATACTGTTTTTGCGATATTCAACAATGTTGCTGCATATCACATATTTTTCTTATATTTTTCACCCTAAAGGATATGAGATTTTATTCACAAATAAAATGTTTTTCATTCCTGAGATTGGATTTTATGGTTAGTTTCATTCTACTTTTTTCATATATGTAATTTAAGATTGATTACAATATTACTCTCGCATTAATATTTAATAGCATCTTTAATGGTACTGGTCTCCTCATGTCTGAATCAGTAGTTGTTAAATTGACTCATGTTAACTCTGTGCATTACTGACATGAGGTCATAAACTCAACGGCAAATAGTCAGACAGCACTTGTGTAAACATTCGGAGCAGCACGCCTCATGTCTTTAAAAGGCAGCATGACAGTAACATAATGCAGCATTCATCACAGGAGATAACCCATCTGGCATTTGTAAAAAGCTGTGGGAGTTGTGAAATGAACCAGAACTATTTAAGGCAGGCATGTTAAATAGGCCGTGTCACATATTTAGACCAACAGTATGGTGAAGCAGGTTGAATACAGACGTACCTCAGGAATCTCATCTCTTCGCTCTTGGTGTCGTTATCTGTCACGATCTTTGATGTCGTCACGCTTACTTCCACACCATCCACCATGAACTTCCGTGTCTTCTTCAGAGTCTTCTTCTGACGTTTTGACTCCTACAAATGAAACAGGGAGGTTTTGAGGGGCTTGAATTATCAAAACAGTGTTGATGATTTAATATTAGAGGTTTGTAGACTTTAGATTATATTACCTGCATAGACACAGAGCCTCCTTCTTTACTCTTGGACAGGAAGCTGGAGATGGACAGATTGAGGTCAAGGCTGTTGCTATCAGCAGCCGAGCTGCTTCCAGAGTCAGAGTCCTTCTCCAGATCCGGCTTGATCACAGCAGGGCTTCCATGCTCGATCTTGCTCTCTGAGTCTGTTTCACTTTCCAGGACCGACACAGTATCTTGGGACGTGCTTTCATCTGCATGGGTGTCTTTCTCCTCATCTTCCTTCACAGGGACATCTTCACATACAACCACTTGTTCTGAATCGTCAGTGGTCTCTTTGGCTTCATCACTAACTCCATTTGTGGATTCAGTTGGGGCCTGTTCCTCCAGATCAACCTCCTCTCTGGTCTCATTCTCTTGTTCAGGCTGCTTTGCCTCCTCTGGGGCCTCATCCTTAGGCTTTTCCTCCGGCTGACTCTCTACGGCCTCTTTCTCAACCTCAGTGGACGTCTTGTCCACACTCGACTTTGTATCTGTTTCTCCATTTATGCTTGTGTCCACTACATTTGATTCTATATTCTCTGTGTTTATAATAACGTCTGTGCCATTAGCTGTGTCTTCTACTATGTCCTCTGTCAATTTATGTTGAGGTGTCTCTTCATCTGGCTCTTTGCTTTCTTCTTCTGCCTGTGCCACTTCTTCTGATACAGATTCTGGTTCTTCTGGTGTATCTTCAGGTTGCTCTTGTGATTCTCTAAATTCTGTATCAGCTTCTTTTTCGTCCTCATCTTTCACCTTCTCAGGCTCTTGTTCTTCTTCTATTACCCGGGCAGGTTCATTCTCTGTTTTCTCTTCTTGTGGCTCCTTTTGTTCCTCCTCTGCTTCTTGACCGTCTGTTTCAACTTCTGGTATATCCGCTGCTTCTACTGGCTCTTCTGGCTGTGATACTATGGGCTCAGCAGGAATCTCTTCGGCTGGACCATCTTCTGGTTTAGTAGGCTCTGTGGGTTCTTGTGAGATTAAGTCCTTGGTGGGCTCTATGAGCCCAGAAGCCAGGTCTTCATTACTGGCGTCAGACACCTCATTGAGTTTCTCCTCCTCAGTCTTGTCGACCTCACTTGTTCCAAGTCCTTCGTCAGAGAGCTTGTCACTGGTCCGGTCCTCAGCAGGCTCAGCCTCCGTCTTCTCTGTGACAGATTCCAGCGTGGAAGGAGTTGGTGGGACTTTGTCGTCCTCTGAGCTGGCAACACTGGCATCTGATGGTGCTCGCTTGTGCCCAGGAGCCGCCTGAGCCAACAGTGAGAGAGATATGAAAATAACAATATGTCTTTAATGAAGATATAAACAACTCATACATAATTTAGAATATATCTTGTTGAGTATTATTATGCTTGTGATTACACACTGACCGGCAATAACATTAAAACCACTGACAGGTGAAATAAAGGACATTGATAATATCGTTAAAACAAAATTTCCTACTGGGAAACCTTGGATTCATGAATTCACGTGGATGCCATTTGGTGTGCTCCACCCACCCAAACACTGTTACAGACCAAGTACATCCCCTCATGGCAGCTGCACCCTTAACGGGACAATGCATCATGTCACATGGCAAAAACTGCTCTGGAATGACCCGTGGTATGTGCTTCAGCTCAAGGCTTCCACCTGGCCTCCAAATTACCCAGATCCCAATCTGATCAAGCATCTGTGGGATGTGCTGGTACCCCAGAACTAAGTCAGATTCATGGGGGGTGTTGCCATTGATAAGTACCATTCTAATGAGATGGTCAATGATATTCACTTCACGTTATTGGTTTTAATGTTGTGGCTGATCCGTGTACATACACTAATAGAACTACATACCAGAGGTGTGTCAGGCTCCTCCTCCTCATCCTCCTCTTTGCTGTCCTCGATCTCCTCCGTGACTTCAGCTTTGGCCTCGGCTATAAGCTCTCTGAGAGGTCTGCTATCAGTTACACTGGTGACAAACGGATGCTACATAGATGGACACAAGAAATAGATATCGTTATTCTTCACAAACAGTCAGGCTGAATCAAATGACATGTTCAGATTTCTTATTAAAACATGTATGAATTCTTTGGGCAAAATCGTAGGCTGCATAAATGGTTGAGGTAACAGTCGGAAGTGAATGTAGTAGAGCAGCTCACCTGTAGGAGCTGCAGTGTGCCCCACCTATTGTCTACATTCTTATCAAGTGCTTTCCGCAGGAAGTCGTTAAATTCTGGTGACCTTTTTAAGAACAAATGAAACAGAATCAGTTTGTTGTCTGGTGTTGCGTCCTGCTTTGTAAAATAGAATTAAAACCACTCTTCCCCCTGTGGCTATTCAGTTGGGCATTAACGATTCACCAAGCTTTCACACATTAAACAGTCAACATATCCTTATCTCCAATCCGGAAATATTCCAGTGCCACCTCTCTTGTTATCACCAGCACTTCATCTTACCAGCGAGAGGGATGCATGAGTGTGGGCGGCTCGGACTTGGCTATTTTCAGCAGCACTCTCATGGGATTCATCTCGTGGTTGGGTGGCTCAATCTGCGCCAGCTCTATCAGGGTAACCCCGAGGGACCAGATGTCGGCCTTGTAGTCGTATGGACGGTCCTTAGAAGTTTCACACATTACCACCTCTGGGGCCATCCTGCAAAAATTAGAAGTCAGTGGGTATGTAATTGGCATTAAGCTAAGTTTGGACTGCGAGTGAAAGTGTGCATTCAGGCATGTTATCTTTCTGATCCCTAAAAGGTCAATTTACTTTGCTCTATAAGGGTAAAAGGACAATTAAATAGAATGTGTGCATTTCAGTCTGGAATTTGAAAGATATGAAGCTTATTCAGTCTTTAAAGCCGAGGTCATTCAACACTGTGCATCTAAATTGCTGAATGAGGCTTTTTTCCGTTTCCACATTCCATGACAGCTTTTGTGCCACTGCATAGAATAATCTGTGAGACACGCTTGGACAATTATCAGATGGTGACGGGGTGAATGCCCTCTTTTTATGCGGGCTGCATGACTCACCAATACGGAGTGCCGATGAAAGAATCTCTTCTTTGTAACGTCTTGGTATTTTTAGCAGACACCCCAAAGTCAGCTGAAAGCAGAAATCAATTATGATTCTTTTCATCAGTGAATCAAACTGTATAATGACACTTTCTGTGTTAAACTGTGAATCCATATAATCACATTTCTACTAAAGCTACGCAGTTATGGCCGGATTCTATCTTAATTTGCTTCAAGCTTTCAAATATGAGCACAGAAAAGTGGACAGAAAAGCCTCAGTCTCTCCTTCTTATCATCCCTCCCAGCTGTTCTAGTGTTACCTGTGAAACTATTTCAGCCTGCTCTCCTCTTCTCCCCTCACTTATAGTACGCACACATTAGAGGGAAAGAGAGATCTATCATTAAGTCCCTGGTGGCAGCTTGATAATTATTGTTTGCCAGGCTCTGCCATGACCCTCTGCCTACAGAACATGAATCATCAGGGAGCCAGCAGCTATGGATGCTACAGCAGCAATATGAATACTTGCTGGAATGTTACGTAACCGATTCAATGTATCACCAACTCCAGTACATAAGTGGTGTATAAAAATTACAGTTCTTTCCTTTGGGGCTGCAGAAAACACGTCACTTTGTTTTGTAACTTTTTAAAAAAAAAAAACAAAAAAAAAAAACAAACAACTCAACTCTGCATGAATGACTCAGTCCTATGCACCACTATCCCCCAAAGTCACATAGCTCAGCTGGTTGCCACAGTGATGATGGCAAAGGGATTCACAATTGACTTTGCTAATTAGCTTTTTAAGCCTTTAAGTGTTGGCCCTGTAGGAAGGTTCAGCGTGGCCACCAAGGACATCTGAGAGACAAATCAACAATGAATCAGCTATTGTTCTGTGTAGTACTCCGAAGCGAGTACCTTAGCATATGCGTAGCTGGAGACAGAGATGAAACAGTATGACAATTTCATTCCACGATTATAGTGGCCACATTTCCATAGCTATCAGTATTATCACAGTATTATTAAATGTGTTGAAAATGTCCAAACAGTACTGAAACACACACTGAAATCATTACATCACTGAAATCACACAAATAAAATTAGCAGCACTATGCACTTTTTGTTTGGTCTTGGCCTCAGATAGAGAACTTCAAAACCAGTCAAGACTACATGTGCGGTTAGGTACATCACTAAATTGCCTGTGCAAAAAAGAAGTGTTGAATTAAGACAGTTAAGTTGTTTTCAGCTCCTTAGTGTTTGAGAAAACAAAGGAAAATTCCCACACATAATTTCGCCTCTGCAATGCCTTTGATTACTGTATCAAGACTTTTTTCATAGTGCAGTTATACATACAAACATATATGCAGTATATGGCAACAAAAGAGGTGAATGAAGGGGAATCATTTGTTTTCTGTGGGTGTTTTTATGGGGATGTGGGTTTTTCAGGTCAACATGAGGAGTGCCTATCTCATTGTAACTCAGTAATGCAGTATTTGTCATGTCCTGGTCCTGACTTGGTCTCAGTTTAGCTGGTGTTGACTACAACTCTGAACTTTGAAATGGTAATACTAACTCTTGACAGTTTTATTACAGTTTATCATGAAACTGGTAACTGTTTCATCATTAGCTGGGACATGAGTGAATAATCCTTCACATTTAGAGAATTGTTACGATGACAAACGCAGCAGCAAAAGATGATTTTACCCAGCTTCACTTCTCCATCCAAGGAGAGGAGAATGTTCCCGGCTTTCAAGTCTCTGTGGATGATTTTGTTCTCATGGAGGTAAGACAAGGCCTCCAAGGTCTGCCTACACACCACACGGATCTGGGGCTCTGTCAGGGGCCTCTCCAGCTCTGTGGATAAACATGCACACAATTAATACACAAGTGATAATTAATTAATTCACAAATTCACAACACAGACTGAGCCATTTGGATATTTAACATCAATTGTGATGGCCTGATGGTATCCAATAGCAACGGGAGGGCAAAACTCCACCCTGACACCAGCCGGCATGTATGACTGGACAAATCTGGGGGAAGGAATTCGTCCTAGGTGAGTCAGACCACAGAACAAAACACGTCAACAACCAACAGAGAAGGGAATTAATTGGTATCCTGTTCATAATTCACGTGTAAGAGAAAGTGGTGAGGTGTTTCTTCAAGCTTCAAAATAAGAGAGAGAAACTGCAGGCATTAGAAGTGGACTAACCACTCCTTGAAATCTGAGCCACAATAATTACACAGTTGGATGGCCTCTCCAACTGGGGAGAGGGAAAAAAATCCCAGAGAGGAGGATTTTGGATGAAATAAAAAGAGCTGGCACTTGAGGATGGAGCAAAAAAAAAAAAAGCTCCAGAACTTTATAGTGTTTTTCTGTTTCCTGCGATGAATGAGGGACTTACCCAGCATGATGGCATCCACTGCACCACCCGCACAGAACTCAATCAGAATCTGAAAAGGTAAAACAAAGTGGAACAATAAGTAATGTGTACTGTAATGCAACAAAGCCCCAATCTAGAGGGGATCTTTTATGCTTTCTGTATTTTGTGTCTTATATATGGTGTTAGAATAAAGTATGTTCATATTAAATGTGGCCAAAGTTTCAAATAATGAGGTTAATGTATGCAGAAGTAATCCCTGTGAGCAAAATCCTCAGGCTTCAGATGGTTTTGACTACTGTTTTTTCTACTCTGGCTACAGTATGATGTCACTGTGTGGCGTATTTCTTAATATGGTTATCTCCTCCTGCTACATGAATTAACATGCTAACGATTAGAAAACATCTAAACTTGGTTGCAGTTGTATTAAGAAGCTTTTATTGGTGATTTTTCACAACAGAAATTGCTGCTTTTCTGTGGTACAGTCATTCCCTCAGTTTCAAGTACACTGCTAACATACATGTAGCAACAACCTAACGTCATGGAAACATCTAAACATGGTTGCTGATGTTGTGAATTTCTCCCCAATTTTGAATCATGCTGCTGCTAGGACATATCAGTGTGTTTATAAGCTTTTACTGATGGTTTTTCATGACAGAAATTGCTGCTATTATCTGGTACAGTCATTTCCCAGCTGCAAGTACATTGCTACATGTAACTACATGCTAACGTCAGGGAGAATTTCGGTTGCTATTAATTTCTCCCCAATTTCTGATCACATTCCTGCTGGAACATGTCCAGTTGTGTTTATAAGTTTTTACTAGTGATTTTTTTTCAATGTAGAAAGTGTCACTTTTCTCTGTTACAGTCATTCCTCTGCTGCAAGGACAGTGCTACGACAGTGAGATTTCGAAGACCTGGAAATGCTGACCGATCAGAGCAGACTAGGCTTTTTCGGGACGGGGACTTCAAGAGACAGGCGCAAAAACTGTGTCTCAGACAGAGGGTGAATACAGGTGTTTCAGCACAGGCAGTATGAGGAAAGTATTTTTGGAACACTGTAGCATGTTCTAGTAGAAACCCAAAATACAAGTATGAACCTGAAAATAAGCATAATAAGTTCTCTTTAACTCCACTCATAGCACAGAATTTGCTTTAAGGAGGAACTTGTGTTATCCAAGGTAGGTGAGCATCATGACCGTTATAGGAAAGACATCAGAACCCCTTTTCCATGTTATTGATTACACTGTGGAGACATTCCAAGAAGCCAATCGATCAGACACAGAGCATCCTCTATTGACACATCTTTTCTCTGCCATTTCAGGACAATCTTTATGTTTCAATCCGTGCTGGATCAGTAGAGGTTCTAGTGGCAAGCTGGAGACAGAGACAGGGATCCTCTCTCTGTGGATTCTTCATGATGCACAGCCTGATTTTTATGCAAAAGGTGTGCAGGTCCTCCTGTTCGAACAATTTGTACCAAATAAATTCTTATTCTTTAGAGTGCAAATCCTTTGAATGTGTGTCTACATATGTATGACTCACATCCAGGATGTTTCATCATACATTCTGATGAAAATTATTTCCTCATTTGGGTAAACATTGTAAAGCCTTGAGCTAATACTCCTCCCTTTCAAGTCACGATGTCAAGTGCGGCACACAGAATTTCATTTCTGAAGTACACCGTTTAATTCCTGCTGTACACAATTTTTCAACATATCTAAACCATAGTATTTATTTTAGGGAAGATGTAAAAACCATAAAAACTTAAATTTACTTCACCTGCTGTCTAATAATAAGAGAATTATGGATTCACCAGTAAACTCTGAGAAGCTGCTGTGCATTAGAGGAACATAACAACATTTCGTAATACTGTTATAGAGATGTAAAACTGACCAGCTCCTGACCTCAGTTGTAATGGCAGATGTAATGTACCCCACCACCACTTCATACTGTATATATTGGCACTTGCCAGTTAGTTGGCAGCTCATGGTATCAGATGACAGACAAAAATCAATCAAGGCTACAACCTAGCACCACCTTCTACGCAGGGACTCAAACAAAAGGGAGAAAGCGGTTGTTCCTGTTCTGCATAACAATTTATCGAGCCATGGGAATCTCTCTTGTGATTTACAATCATACGACTCTAACAGGTGCTCATCTTAATACCAGGTTAAATTGAACATCATGCATACATGCAAAAAAAATCCTCTTTTTAAGCCACACATTTTCCTGATTCCTTCCATAATCTTTTGCAGAAAAATTATTACACATTAACGCAACACATGCACAGCCAGAAGCGGTTACACATTCATCATGCTGCTTAAAGACGGGGGCCGGAGGGACGACCTGCATGCAGCTCTGAATTATTCAGGCACTTTCTCCAGCCACCAAAACCACTCCATTATCTTCCCATAGATGTGGCCAGTCCACAAGGGACGGTCACATGACACCACCTGCCAGGACCTAACTGCTCTGGGGCCTCTTAACTGCACACAGAATGAGATCTACTGACCATGTATTTAAAATGTAGCTCAACACTCTGCTCACAGTAAAATAGCTTGGTATGGAAACAGATGAGGGCGGCAACTAACAATTATCTTCACTGCTGATTATTTTCTCAACTAATCAATTAGTGGTTTGGTTTGTAAAATGCCATGAAATGGTGAAAAATAGTGTTCACTGTTTCAAAGAAATCCTCAAATGTCTTGTTTTGTCCACAACCCCAATATATTCAGTTTACTGTCATGGAGGAGTGAAGAAATTGGAAAATAATCACATTTAAGAAGTTGAAATCAGAGAATTTTGAGTTTTTGCTCTTAAATACTTACTCAAACTGATTAATGAACAGTCAAATAAGACTAATAACTAACACAACTAATCGATAAATCGTTGCAGATCCAAAGTAGATGCAGGGCTCTCCTGAGAATAGGTTTAGAGAATTTCACTCTTAAAATGGAGTATGCCTTTCACTTCAGCTGTAAGACTATGACCCATGACCTCTGGGAGGTCAGGCGTTCCTGCAGCTGAACATGCAGTCCTAGCCTCGTACTAGCCTCTGACTGTGCCACATGATCCAGGTTAAACTCTTGTTGTAGGCGACAGCAAAAAATGCACTGCTATTATCCCTTAATCGGATGATATAAGAGTCCTGTGAGAAACAGCATAACAAATAGTGGCTTGTGATGAATTTGTGTGTCTCCATGCATGACTGGTTCACTACCTCTGTGTCTCCTTGGCTTCAAATCAACAACAACACACAGAAAAAAAAAAGAAAGTCAAGCGCTTGCTTGCTTACTTACCCAAAGTTTGCCTTCAAAATAGAAGGCATCCAGCAGTTTGACGATGTGATGGTGGTTGCAGGAAGCCAGGATGTCAATCTCTACCATGTAATCCTCCAATTCATCCTCTGTCTTTGTGTCAATAACCTTGGCAGCAGCGAGGGTCCCATTCTGCTTGTTCTGAGCCTGGGAACAACATTGATGACAGAGGCTTTAATCAGTTGAGCATACTATTCAATACATTTCTGATATTGCTGGCTGGACTACAGAGCAATCAGTTTGACTTCCTTTGCTGTTATAGTGCTGTAGAGTGGCTATTGTGGAAGAACATCCATCAACGTTAACAACTTCATTTAAGACAAAAGCCATTTTGGAGCCAAAGCAATAAACACTGCAGCACTTTATGGCTTTAGTAGCACCTAGAGGATCACATCTCTATAAATACATTTCATAGAGACCTTATGACAACTCGTTGCTGCACAGTGAAAAGGAAAATTACTGTAGAAACACCCACAGCAACCATTTGAAGTCAAAATATTTACAATACACCCCATCACCTTCTGACCTACTCTAACAAAAGCTGAGTTTGCTCACTTCCTCCTCTTCTTTTCTCCGCTACATCGTTCTTTCCTCTCACTTTGATACACCTACTCGAAGGTCACATGTGGAAAAAACAGTTGCAGTAATTTAGGTATGAGTATTACCAAATAAATCTATGATTAAGTAGGGAAATGGCTTCCAAAATCTTCACTCCCTATTAGGCTTTACTGAAGAGACTACTACGAAAAATTACCACCACACATCCCATCAAACAGGTAGCCGAGAAGTTATTTTAAGGTCAGCTTTGGGCTTAATGTTTATGGATACAGACACAATCTCAGGGAGTTAAGGAAAAAAGAAAAGGGAGGGAGTGTTAGGACCAACCGCTGCAGAGTGTGTCACAAACTATATTTACACAGCTCTGACCTGACACACTCCCTGTCTCTTTCCCTTTGTGCGGGCCGACGCCTGTCTAACACAGGCCATCACTAATACATATGCACAATATGAGCTTCATGATGGAGAGGGCAGCTCTAATTTGTCTGCCATTGAGTCATTCAAGTGGAGCCTGTGGCCTTCAGTCATTATGTACATGGCACTTAGACAAACTCTGCACTTGTCTGGTATTTAGGGATTCAATGAAAGGGTTTTGTGGGTGTCATAACAACACATAAAACAACCATGCACATTGTTAAAATAATCTTTTAAGGCTAGCAAATGTTTCAACCTGCCTGAGTGCAAGTTAACTGTAATAAATCTCACCCCCCTCTAGCTGTATTGAATGTGCACAGTCTTTGGCAGGAGGACTGGATTTTTATATCACATATTAAAAGACACATATGCCACCCTAACTAAGTTAACTGACAGGCTGTGCAAACAGAATTATGTAAGCAGTTTGTCCAAACAAATGGCACATCTCTTCACTAATTAAAGGCACAATACAGCCCATGTTTATGTGCTGATGTGAGTTCAGGACTCTTCTCTCTTCCACTCACACACTAAAACAGCTGATTTGACACTTTGCTGGCAATATCTGTCACCCCGCCCAAATGAGGCAGCCATCAAAAGCCTGTGAAATAACTGGTGAAATACGTAGTCTGTGTTGATAGTAATGCGACCTATTGATGACGAGTTCTCCCTCTATGTGTGGGAACAGCGAGTCAATAGGTTGTGAAGTGTATATTTGTCTACAACTTAAGTCTGGGAAGCCACAAGAAGTCTACAGGCTTTCATCACAGTTAGTTAAACGGCTAATAAGACTTGCAAATGAAGATTTTCTGGGCCATTAGCTGCTTTATCTGATCTCAGGAGTTCCAAGAAGGGACACCATAAGTCACAGAGAAATAGGGAGAGAAAGCTGGGGTTACTGAAATAAAAGAGTCTCCAGCTGATGAAGATGTGGAGCTTCATGTGAAACTAATTTCCACCAAACTATCTACATTTCTAATCAGATAATTGTCTGTGTTTGATTTGTATAATACATCTCAGTCCTTTCTTAAAGGCTGTTTAAAAGAGTTTGCCCCTGGCAACCTCATTTCAACCTCCATTCAAAGACACAGAGGTAATGAAAAGAGCTGATTTTGCCTCATGTTGTTGACCTTTCCGAAGGGTGTTCTCAACCCAATACAAATTCACGTTCAGATAACATGGAGAGGTACGTCACTGAGCAGAGATAACAGGTGGTGGACACAAAACCATGAATACCGTGCGATATAATCCAGGGCTGCAAACTACAGACCGCAGAAGGAAACAACCCCCACGCTCTCTATCAGCTAACCAAAACTGAACGTTACAAACTCCACATAAATTGTTTTGGGGCCATTTGATTAAATGGCATGATACTGTGCTTGTGTTGCAGGTATTATGTCCACCTCATGCATAATTCACAGTATGTGTTGGTGAAACAAACAGACCATCAACCTGATGTGACAAACTGTTAACCACTAGACAACATTTACATACACACCTGTGCACCTGTCACAGCGTATGGCAAACACAAACTACTTACACATTTGACTTGTAAGGGCACCTGCTCTCAGGATTTTTATCTGTATGTCCTCTGATCTCTCAGATCAACCTTAGACAATACAGTTTGGCATTTGGGAGGCCATGTTTATTCTGTGGTTGTGAACCACACCTTCAACAGTTTGACTGAGGCCAAGTGCAACTCAATGACATAGCAAAGTCATATTTACAACATGACAGTGTAACAGGGCCCACCTTAATCAGCTAAAATGGAAAAATGCCACTGATACATTAGGAGATGAGTTCAAGGTATCACTAAACAAAGCCCTAGGCCACGTTTCTTTACCTCAACAGGAACACTGTGGCGAGCAGGTGATAGTTACGATATGAGAGAGCTGTCACAGCATGCAGTTGACACAAAAATATAAATGACTAGTGGTTTAGTGGCCTAGAGGAGGAGGCCTGAGCAGCTGTCATTTTAACGTTATATCGCATGACCTGACTGCAATAACGTGAAACACATCGGAAGCTAGTGTCTCAAGAAATGGGTTAGAAAACCCCAAGGCGGATGTAACACATTACCTTGTACACTTTTCCAAACGCTCCATCTCCCAGCTCCCCAATGATGTCCCATATTTCCTCTGGGTTGACGTCTCTGTGTACATGTTCATACTGCTTCTTCTTCTTGTCGGGCCCTAACTTGAATATCTTCCGAAAATTGAAGAAAGACATCTTTCAGGACGTGAACTACAGTGCTGTGGATGCGGTCTCTTCGGTTATTTCCGCCAAGAACGGTTCCTCCCGACGACGCGGAGCTCAAATGGCTATCGAAATAACAGCATGCAGGCGTAAAACGAAGGCAGACAAGCTGCTATTGTAGCCATTCAGCTATGATAATGCCAATTATAACTTCCCTCTACGGCTGTTATTCATAATCACATCATAGCTAGCGGTGTTCACAGGACGCTGGCTGGGCAAGGAGATGAGGGATACAGAGAAGAAGAGTTCGTTGTTACGCACAGACTAGTATTTCCGTTTTGAAAAACAATTAAATTAAATGAAACCGCAGATATCGCTTGTATCAACACCATCGGTACGGCATTTTTATCATATAACGCTAGCGAGCAAAAAACGTTGAGTCAAAGGACCCCATGCTTCGGTTGGCTGACCACACAGAAGTTAGCGGACCAGCGTCAAGTTAGCTAACGCCAGTTGGACTTCCGTTAAAATCATTAAAAGTAAAAACGTTAACGTTACTGACAGACAGCCGCGCAACACATGTTGTAGTCAGTGAAATTAGCAATAAGAAAATGACACTCACTTGCAACAAACAGGCAAACAATCTGACATTAGCTGCCTTTTGTGCTATTTTGTGAGAGTGCTAACGGATGAATCTTGCTAGCTTTGCTAACATGCTCGTGCTAACAGCGTTTTGTCATTTTGTCAAGCTATGTTAAGCTAAGTAAAAACAAAATTTCCACCGAGTACCGTTATCAATTGCAAGTAAGTTTAGCTAGCCCAGTTTCGTAATGTTTCAACAACGCAACACACCCGTTAAACGCTTTTACTTCGGAGGTTAGACGTTGATACTTCCGCTGTCAGTTGGTGTACCGGAAGTTAGCTTGACGCCATTAGTTAGCTGTATCTGTTTCCTGAATCTCCTCGGCAGGACGTGCTTAGCGGCTCAGCCCCTCGGCTCTACCACGCATGCTACTTGTGTTCCTGCCGTCATGAGGGAGGGAAAAAATGGTAGAAGTTGTTTGTCCAGGCCCACATCATGTAATAAGGAGTCAGATGATTTGGGCTGACTTATCAGTTCAGCTAATTCAAAGTAATTAGGCAGTCATGGGTGGGGATTGTTATGAGCTAATCCAGTCTGATATAACAGATGATGATGACTTTATGATTTGCCATAAGGCTAGGTAATATGTGACACTTGGTGCTAGATTACCAAGAAAACCACTTAATAGTCTGAATACTACCTTGAGTGTTACTTTTAGGACTTAATATGGCTCTCTGTTATATTTCTATCAAGAAAAAATGGCCAAGTAAAATATTTTAGAAACTTTGGACCCTCAAACACATCAAGAACCCCTACTTTACTCCAATGACATGTTTAGTTACAATGGGACATTTGATGTGGTCAAATGGGATCGTCATTTTTTAAAATGGATACATACAGTACAGGCCAAAAGTTTGGACACATCTTCTCATTCAATGCGTTTTCTTTATTTTCTATTTTCTATTTACATTGTAGATTCTCACTGAAGGCATCAAAACTATGAATGAACACATGTGGAGTTATGTACTTAACAAAAAAAGGTGAAATAACTGAAAACATGTTTTATATTCTAGTTTCTTCAAAATAGCCACCCTTTGCTCTGATTACTGCTTTGCACACTCTTGGCATTCTCTCGATGAGCTTCAAGAGGTAGTCACCTGAAATGGTTTTCCAACAGTCTTGAAGGAGTTCCCAGAGGTGTTTAGCACTTGTTGGCCCCTTTGCCTTCACTCTGCGGTCCAGCTCACCCCAAACCATCTGGATTGGGTTCAGGTCCGGTGACTGTGGAGGCCAGGTCATCTGCCGCAGCACTCCATCACTCTCCTTCTTGGTCAAATAGCCCTTACACAGCCTGGAGGTGTGTTTGAGGTCATTGTCCTGTTGAAAAATAAATGATCGTCCAACTAAACGCAAACCGGATGGGATGGCATGTCGCTGCAGGATGCTGTGGTAGCCATGCTGGTTCAGTGTGCCTTCAATTTTGAATAAATCCCCAACAGCGTCACCAGTAAAACACCCCCACACCATCACACCTCCTCCTCCATGCTTCACAGTGGGAACCAGGCATGTGGAATCCATCCTTTCACCTTTTCTGTGTCTCACAAAGACACGGCGGTTGGAACCAAAGATCTCAAATTTGGACTCATCAGACCAAAGCACAGATTTCCACTGGTCTAATGTCCATTCCTTGTGTTTCTTGGCCCAAACAAATCTCTTCTGCTTGTTGCCTCTCCTTAGCAGTGGTTTCCTAGCAGCTATTTGACCATGAAGGCCTGATTGGCGCAGTCTCCTCTTAACAGTTGTTCTAGAGATGGGTCTGCTGCTAGAACTCTGTGTGGCATTCATCTGGTCTCTGATCTGAGCTGCTGTTAACTTGCGATTTCTGAGGCTGGTGACTCGGATGAACTTATCCTCAGAAGCAGAGGTGACTCTTGGTCTTCCTTTCCTGGGTCGGTCCTCATGTGTGCCAGTTTGGTTGTAGCGCTTGATGGTTTTTGCGAGTCCACTTGGGGACACATTTAAAGTTTTTGCAATTTTCCGGACTGACTGACCTTCATTTCTTAAAGTAATGATGGCCACTCGTTTTTCTTTAGTTAGCTGATTGGTTCTTGCCATAATATGAATTTTAACAGTTGTCCAATAGGGCTGTCGGCTGTGTATTAACCTGACTTCTGCACAACACAACTGATGGTCCCAACCCCATTGATAAAGCAAGAAATTCCACTAATTAACCCTGATAAGGCACACCTGTGAAGTGGAAACCATTTCAGGTGACTACCTCTTGAAGCTCATGGAGAGAATGCCAAGAGTGTGCAAAGCAGTAATCAGAGCAAAGGGTGGCTATTTTGAAGAAACTAGAATATAAAACATGTTTTCAGTTATTTCACCTTTTTTTGTTAAGTACATAACTCCACATGTGTTCATTCATAGTTTTGATGCCTTCAGTGAGAATCTACAATGTAAATAGTCATGAAAATAAAGAAAACGCATTGAATGAGAAGGTGTGTCCAAACTTTTGGCCTGTACTGTAAGTTCAGTCATTAATTTATTAAATCATTAATATAACATGTGGCTATTTATTAAAAAATGTCAGACTTCTCTGTCATGCTTCCCCTGTTCTTTTGTTGCTATTTCCTTGGTGCCATACTGTCTACAATGACATGCGTGTGTACACATGATGGCTATTTCTGAACTTATGTGGCTGACATGAACTCACTGCATCATTTTTTTCAAGTGACAAAAATACCCCTAAATGTCTGCATTATAACAGAGTAGCACATATTAGCACAACTCATGATTTTGTGGCACGTGGTAGCCATTGTCCCATTTTACCTGAATGCATTCTGCGCTCACACAAAACCATTTCCCATGAAAAGTAAGGTGCACTGAGTAAATGCTTTAATTATAAGTCAAACATTTAATCAATGGCGTAAGGTGGCTACGATGGGCCCTGGTGCACGCTGTCATGCACATATCATCTCATACCATGATCAGAAACTTGATATTGGATAACATCAATGTACACATTACCCAGTTATCATCATTGCATATCTGTAACAAAAAATACCAAAGAAAATAAGAAATTATTTAATTTAACAACTTTAATTGTTGATTTAAAGACAGTAGTGATTTTTTTCTTTATCTCAGGTGTGCCCATACTATTTATCTCAGACCAATAAAAATGATTGTTTCATGTAAAGCACATTTGTATTAACAAAACAATAACATGTTTGGTAATTAGCTGCTTAAATATTTAATGAACCCAAGATGTAAAACCTTATTTGTCCAATTTTACCTGGTGTTTGACTTCACCCTGTATAAGGATTCATGTGGCCCATTATAATTCATGAATTCATGAGACCCACTCCTTTTTAGTTGTTGTGTCTTTCTGCATGAAATCTAGTACCCAGTAGTATAAAGCAATTTAAATAAGCCCACCTTTACAAGCTGCAACATTAAAGCAATGGACACATTAATGCATCGATAATCATAACTCAATAATGTAATGTTTATTATTATGAAATTGGCCTTTCTACACAATTGGGTGTATTTGATGCCAATGTTTTTGTACTTATACTTAATAAAGATTTTGAATGCAAGACTTTTACTTTTACAGAGTATTTTTTAATTTGTTCTACTTTAACTTAAGTAAAAGATCTGAATACTGAATCCATCACTGTTAAAAATACATCAGATTTCACTAATTAACTTTTGTTTGGTCTCAGTAAGCACAGTATTCTAAAATTATGCATTGTACAATAATATTATAACATTATTATTTACTCAGTATAAGTTAAATCTGCCTAATAAATGTAGTGGGGTCTGTATACTGCAAATAAAACAATCAAAATGCATTATTTATTCTGTATAGGGTAGATCAATGTTTGTATAGCGCCCCCGTGTGGAATAATGATCAAAATATTATCCTCCTCTGGACCGCCATGGTCTCACCTCCTCCACTAGGAGGGAGCAGAGTCATTTGCCATCTGATACGATGAGTTTAAGTGCTGTCGGAAATCATAAAGTGACATATAAATGCACGGTAAAGCACATACATTTTATATGATATGATTGTTAACTGAGCAAAATGCATGTTCCTCTGTGTAGCTGTTCATGTTTGTTTAAGCATAAAGCTGCTTTCTTAAAGTTAAAAATACAGCATGTACACAGTCGACTATTTAGAGATTATTGTCCTAAAGGTGTATTAAAAGCAAGTAAAACTTCAAATGTAAGTGCATGTGAGAATGATGCTTTTATTTTCCTTCTTTACATCTGGTTTTTATTTAAAAAATAAAGGCAACCTACCACAAAAGTTTGTTTTGTGTAGCATTTAGTGGGAAGTAGGAGGAACACTTGAATGCATTAATTCTCTCCATCCACTTTTTTCCAGTGGGAAGGAAAATGTGCTTTTCATTATGCAGTCTATTTTTTTTTCTTCAGATTCTCGATACTTTTCAGGGAATTTTGCACAATGTTACACACGACATGAGAAAAAGAAGTCTCAAACAGCTGGACTGTACTTCTTCTCAGGGTCCCTGTGTGCAGCCAGCTGCAGCGGGACCGCCCCGCACACACTCACACTCACACGCACTGCCCTCCTGTCCGTGCTGTGTCGCGGCAGTCCAGCCCCCCTTGAGGGAGGGGAAGCCGGATTGAACGCCAGTTTTATTGCGTTGTCATGTTTCACAAGAGTTCAGAAGCTCAGAGACCGCCTGATACCATCGTTTCATGGATGCACCCGAAGTCTGAGCGCGGAGGGGCTTTTTTTTCTCACCTTCTACCAACTTTGCAACTCCGCGTAAGGCTGTTCCCTTATGGTGTTTGGTTTTCAATACCGTTTTCATGGGTGAGAATCTTCTTCTGTAGCTTTTAGAGTATTTCTTGGTGCAAATCCAATTAGGTCTGTGAAGATGCAGCTCCGTACGG